ATATGAACATCGCGAAATTAAATCCCCGCGAAATGGAATAGAAAGGGCTAAATGCGAAATGAAGTATCCACAAAAAATAGTTTAAAACATTTTTATGTGCCTGTCCCAATTTAGAGTTTGTAGTATGTTACCTTTTTTTTTTGTTAAATTGTTTGTGATAATTTCAGGCTGCTGGATTTCTGGTTTGAATTGTTTATAATTTTTTGTCATGTTATGGCCTTTTCATAGCAGACTATATAGTATGGGTTTTATTCATTGTTGAAGGCTGTATGGTTATTATGACTCTTCTGGATAGTTTTCGCATTGCAATTGGCAATCATACCACAGCTCCTTATTTAAATATAATAACTTTGTATAATTATCCTGCATATGAAATTAACTATTTCTTTCTGACCTATGTTTTTTCTCTCCTTTTTTTGTAATAAAAAATAATCTGATCCCCAACATTGAAGAAAAAAAAATTGATCAGGGAGAAAGAAAAGAAATATGTTTAATACTCCGAGTATTTGTAATTTGATTTTCAGAATGTTCAGTTGTTTAAAAAAAATCTCACTTTGTATGAAAAAAAAACTCCATATAATTTGATGCTTGCATGGTTCGTTATACATTTTCGGAATAGATAAAAAAAACTTATTTTACCTTTCCCCACAGTTAAATGGTCCTTAATTTTATTGAGTTGTATATATACATGTATTGGTATAATGATATATGATTGATCGATTGTTGCTTGCTTTATGTCCAGTGGAAAATATTTCATGCATGCTCAGGGCGAGAACAAATTAACAATAGATAAAATAGGAAGATTCTGTACTAGGTAGGCCGACCAGAAAAAGGAGGGGTGAATTTAGACTGCCACTGGAAATTTAGGATCGATGTTTGAAATGGGGCAGAAAATTAGCCTTGCAACTGGCAACCTTAAGAACCTCAAACAGTAGATGCAAGGATTCTTTAGCATATAAAGAGTGCTGCACTCTCTCTGCACGAGGCATAACATTTAACATCCTGATTCTGACCGCACATGCACAATTTATGAATTCAAAAACAAATATCACTTCAGAATTGTAAGGAAAATATTTGACCTCTGTTCAAGTTGTTTAAATTTACTTGTTCTGGCAATATTCTTCTTTTTTCGTCCTTCTCAAGAACGACACATTAGATGATATTTTATACTTTTACAAATAATATATAGATGTAAATATTAGATAAGAGAAGTTTTACCCTTTTTTGTGTGGAAATCATTGACGAATTCGGGTCGTGTTATTCATATGTATATATATATATCTTTTTGAAAATGTTGCTTGTGCTGTATTTAGACCCCTCTACCAAGAAATTTGTTTTGCATGCACACGTAAAAAAATGCGGATTTTACCAACGCAGTCATAGGTTTGAACGTTGTTTTCAATTATTAATAATAATAATAATAATAATAATATCTTTATTTAGAGAGAGTAACTCATTTGGATTACACCAATTTTCAATAAGGCTCTCTTAATACAATAATAATTACATTAAAAATAAACAATACATATTCAATAATAATGATAAATAAAGATGTAATACAACTTAAATACAATAAACAATTATTATATATGGCATTACAGTACAAATATCATGGTAATGTTAAAAGTACATAGATTTGTAGTTATGTTTAAATTCTAATACTGTGTTTGATTTTTTAATTGAACCAGGAAGAGCATTCCATACTTTTGGTCCATTGTACGAGAAACTAGACTTATACAACTCTGTATTTGGTTTTGGAATTATAAAATTATCTGAGGACGAAAATCTCGTATTGTATTTTTGGTTTGCAGAAGCTGATAAAATAAGACTGGACATATATTCTGGAGCTAAGCCATGTTTTGCCTTATACATTAGTAATGATTTATGATACTGTATTCTTTGTGTAATCGGCACAATGTTACATTCGTGAAATAATTCGCTTGAAGGTTTGGTGTAATCATGTTCGTCTAAAATTATTCTTGCTGCCCTCTTTTGCAGTTTTAGTAAACTATCTAATAGAAAGTTATTACAGTTTCCCCATATTGAACAACAATAATCTAAGTGAGGTAAAACGTAAGCGTTATAGAACATTTGTCTAGCTTTGTGATTTAAATATTTCTTTATCCTTTTTAGTAAAGCTAAAGAAGAGTTAACCCTTTTTATGATATAATCAATATGAGAAGACCAAGATAGAGATGCATCAACAAAAATACCTAGAACCTTTTCACATGTACTTTCTTTAATTTTTTGTCCATTCATAGCAATATTAATGTTTTCATTTGATGTAGCTGAAAGCTTCTGTTTAGAGCCAATACATATAGCCTTCGTTTTAGATACATTTACAGCCATTTTATTGTCATCACACCAGCTAAAAATATCTTGTAAAACCGTATTAAGTTTATGACTGATACAACTTTTGTTTTGTCCAATGACTGATATGGTGCTATCATCAGCAAAAAAATCGGTGTTATGATTAGGATTAGACATAGGAAGATCATTTATAAAAATTAAAAACAACACTGGTCCTAAAACGGATCCTTGAGGTACACCCGTTTTTTGTTTTTGTAAGTCTGAAAATGTATTTGAAATAGATACCATCTGATATCTGTCAGCCAAATATGATGTAAACCATCGTAGCGAAGTATAAGCAAATTTGTATTTGTTTAATTTTTGAATAAGCAGTTCATGATTGAGAAGATCAAAGGCTTTTGCTAGATCTAGAAACACTGCCCCAACAAGATCGCCATCATCAATGGCTTTAAGCCATTTATCCAATAAAGCTGTTAACGCAGTTTGACAAGAATGTTTTGCGCGAAAGCCTGACTGCATTCTATACAATAAGTTGTATTTATTAAGATACTTTACTAAGTGTGTTTTCACATGTTTTTCGAGGATTTTAGAAATGAGTGGTAAAATTACAATTGGTCTGTAATTAAGACTTGTATATATATGTTTTCAATTTAGACTTGTATATATATATATATATATATATATATATATATACGTGTGCATGCAAAACAAATTTCTTGGTAGAGGGGTCTAAATACAGCACAAGCAACATTTTCCAAAAGACCAAAACAGTGAAAAGGTATATTTTAACAAAACGCATTTGACTAGCAGGTCGAAAAACGGATGTTCGTAAACCCTGATGACTGCCAGTGCGATCGCCAAATAAACGGATCACCAGATGTAACAAAATGGATCTTAACTATTAATTTAATATCAAACAGAAAACAATAAATTTGCGGAAAAGATGGTATACCGCAAACATGAGGTGCAAAAATTGATACACCATATCTGGATTTAGACAATTAATGTCTCTTGAGTGATGTTAGGAATCGAAACGGTATTTGGAAGGCCATATAATTTGCCTCAGTTTAGCAGGTCGAACAGCGGATGTTCTTGAACCCTGCTGACTGCCATGGCGATTGCCAAATAAACGGATCACCAGATGTAACAAAATGAATCTTAATTATACCAAACAGAAAACAATAAACTTGCGCGGAAAAGATGGTATACCGCAAACATGAGGTGCAAACATTGATACACCATATCCCGATAGGTACGTCTAAACAAGTGACAATTCTAGGACAGATCCATCCATTGGATCACCAGTGAAGGTGATACACGGCTGAAAACACATATTATATTCATAATTACTCTAAATATCAGCACAACAATGTTAAATCTGCAAATTTGCGGAAGTAAATTTTTGTTCTTCCCTCGCCGGGATTCGAACTCATGCTATTGGTATATTGAGACAACCCCGCCTGTACTGTGTCCAGCGCTCTAGACCACTCGACCACCTAGACTGAACTAAAATTTTCAGCTTTTGGTGGCCTAGTGTTACCTTTCCTCGTCAGTAGAATCTAGAGTTGTAACACAGTACATGATACAGTATTAGGCATGAAGATGGAATTGATTGCAGATTAGCTAAATTATCTGTCGTAAAGGATCGTAAGATGCAGTCACAGAAATAATTATATATATAAAGGACGCCTGATGTGTTTATATAGGTGTAATTATAATTAATACTGTTTTTTTTCCTGAGCACCCGAGTTTATCCATTATGGTTTTTCAATATCACTTTAAAAGAAAAGATAATTATGATGATCAAAGTTTATTAACTTCCCAGTTCATTCAGATAATAAGATGGATTTTCGGACTAACTGGCTTACGGACTTTTGAACCATATGGCTTAATTTATATCTAATTCGGGTGTGTATATTTCGCTTATAATTTCAATTTATGTTCATATTTACCTTTTTCTCTGAAAAACGACATATCTAGTCCAGTAATAAATACTTAAAAAAGTTTTATTATCAAAGTAATTAAAACTGAATATTCACTTTTATATAATGTTCCACTCCCATTTTGACAATATCATTCATGTTACAGGTTAGTCCCGTTTTTGGGATAATATCTAAGAAACTCGATTTGCAAATTTTAAATGTCACATCAATTGTACTAAACAACTTCTGTATCAATTCAACTCTACGTAACGTAATCTATTTAAAATATACTTTCCCCTATCATCTGTTTACGCTTTATATTAGTGTGGTTGATCAGATAAAGTTCATAGTGGTTGGTTTTAAGGTGAAATTATCCTACAGCAGTGTGACGTCAATAGATGATTTCAAATCTTTATGACACATTAAGTATACATTTACCATTGAAAGTTATATGTATGATTTTAGATCAACATTTAATATACTGTATTTTACTATTTGTCATTGGGTAAGATCGTACGGGTTTCTATAATCCACGATCGAAGAAAACCAAAAGCAAATGCCACGTGATATTGAGCTTTATAGAACGTTGGCTTAGAAAAGTGCTATTGCAATACGTACTGACAAGTTATGTACTAAGCTTTCAATTTTATGCGCTGTGTATTGTTGAAAAAAATTAGTCACTAACAATAATAGATTAATATAATTGTGATTACTTTAGATGTTTGTAAGCGGAACGGACAAACTTCCGGATTTAGTGATGAACGCATAATAAATACGGACTTAGTATAAAGACTTTGTGACAAATAAAAAAAAAAGTATAATAACTTGATGGACTTGATATTTATTATATGGACACTTACTTTCATTAAATGTAAGTATACTCAATATTATTTTGTATTACAAATCATGCATATAAACAATAAAAAAATAAATGAAATTGAAAATTAAATAACTTTTTGAATGTTAATGTTTTCCATTAGTTTTATTGTTGGGAATACAAATGTATTTAATCTTAAATACACAGAAATAAAAACAAACTTTATTTTAAAACGAAAACAAACACTAAAACAAAACAAAACAATGATATAAAATCCCTTCCAAGAAAAAAATCCTCAACAAAAAAACAAAAACAATAATGCAAATAAGACATCTAAAGAACTCTAACGAAGTATCAATTATCAGAATTGTTTATTACCATGAATGAAACCTCTATAGAGAATGTGCATTTAAACCCGCTGCATTTTCATGCACCTGTCCTAAGTCAGAAGCCTGTTGTTCAGTGGTTGTCGTTTGTTGGTGTGGTTCATAAGTGTTTCTCGTTTCTCGTTTTTTATATAGATTAGACCGTTGGTTTTCCTGTTTGAATTGTTTTACACTAGTCATTTTGGAGCCCTTTATAGCTTGCTGTTCGGTGTGAGCCAAGGCTCCGTGTTGAAGGCCGTACTTTGACCTATAATTGTTAACTTTTTATACATTGTGACTTGGATGGAGAGTTGTCTCATTGGCACCCATACCACATCTTCTTATCTATAATTATTAGAATTACTTGGAATTGATATTGATGAAAATTTCAGCTATCGTAACTACTCGGCTAATCTAGCGTAGGTTAGCGAGAATGGCTGAGTAAAATGTTGCTACGATTGGGAAGTGATTTTAAATTGATCGTACGTATATTGAAGTCTATTGAAGTTTAGTTTGTGGGACTGTATCCCAAATAGATTCTGATAGAACTTCAAAACTGCAGAAAAGAGCGACACGAATTATAATTTAATGAGTCTGCAGGTTTGATGGGTCTTTATTTCTGTATTCTTAGGCCACGTTTCCCGAGGGTGTGGATGGGGGTCCTTCATTTCTGTATTCTTTATTCTTTAGGCTATTTTTCTCTATTCAATATATTTGTTGCCAATTATTCTCTATCTGTAAACCCCCATCCACACCCTCATTCTTGTACCATATTATCTGTTCTTTATATTTTGCACCTATTATTTTCTGTCCTTTTTATTGGCACTTTTATTTTCTATTTTTCACTTTTCCCCCATTATTTTTGATTCTATAATCCCCATCCAGACCCTCTTCAATGTGTTTATATGTTCAAGAAAGATTCTTGTTCCTAATACTTATAAAAACGGTTACCATTAACAGAAAGATCTAAATTCCAGAAATCTGGTTTAAAGTATAAAATTATAAATGGACTTGTACCTTGTGGTTCACCAACACATACCCGTTTCAACAAAGGTTACAATCTATTTCTACTACGACCAAATATATTTGTTATTAAATTCTGATCATGACTCTGCTATCAAGATATAGACAGATTGTCCATTCCCAGTAAAGTCGTTATGTAGAATATTTCAAGACACATTACATTTATTTTTCTGAGTATCTCTATGTAAGTTTTTCAATATCACAAGGTATCATAATTATAATTACCAATTTTAATTTGATAGAATATAAAAAAAAATCTATTGTGGTTTATGCACGGATGATTTTATGTATGTTGTATTAATCTGTTGAATGTGTATTGTAGTCTGTATACATAAATAAGAAGATGTGGTATGAGTGCCAGTGAGACAACTCTCCACCAAAGTCACAATGTGTAAAAAGTAAACATGCATGAATGTGTTTGAGCATTTCTATGAAAATAAAAAAAACCACTTTATACATAATATGGTGCGTTTTGATTAACATTCATCAAAACGCTGAAATACAAAAAAAAAAATGAAAGAGATAAATACTTGAATACATGGGAAGCTATATGAACAAAAGTCTGCTAAAAAGAATATTGTAATTCATCTAAAATTAATCAACTTTGCATGACTGAATATATACTTGCATTCTTTGATATTGTTTCAAATATGCAATCGTGTGTTTGTTCTGTCTGATAACTCAGCCATGTATTATACACCATCTCATGCTCTGTTTGATAACAATCAGCCATGCATTATACACCATCTCATGCTCTGTTTGATAACAATCAGCCATGTATTATACACCATCTCATGCTCTGTTTGATAACAATCAGCCATGTATTATACACTATCTCATGCTCTGTTTGATAACAATCAGCCATGTATTATACACCATCTCATGCTCTGTTTGATAACTACCAGCCATGTATTATACACCATCTCATGCTCTGTTTGATAACTATCAGCCATGTATTATACACCATCTCATGCTCTGTTTGATAACTATCAGCCATGTATTATACACCATCTCATGCTCTGTTTGATAACAATCAGCCATGTATTATACACCATCTCATGCTCTGTTTGATAACAATCAGCCATGTATTATACACCATCTTATGCTCTGTTTGATAACAATCAGCCATGCATTATACACCATCTCATGCTCTGTTTGATAACAATCAGCCATGCATTATACACCATCTCATGCTCTGTTTGATAACAATCAGCCATGTATTATACACCATCTCATGCTCTGTTTGATAACAATCAGCCATGTATTATACACCATCTCATGCTCTGTTTGATAACTATCAGCTCATCTCATTTTGTATGTGTACCAAGTTAGTCGATCTGAGCCATTTAATGTTCGTTGTTGTTTGTCATTGTATGTGCTTCTATTTATTTTGAGCAGTCGGTTGTTGATAGTAGATGTTGTGTGTTGTACTATCTTGTATTTTTGGGCTATTCCTGATATCCCGATATCCCTTTATGTATTATGAATATGACATAGTAACCCGAATAATTCAGTCCCTCTCTGTGAACAAAACTTTTTATATAGCTTGTAAACACTAGCAATGGACAGGGCACGCATTTTTCTTTTTCATTTTTATTTTAAATATACAGACTTCAAATTAAAACCCACTAGAAGCAACAAATTAGCATGTGTATCTTACATTTCTTACTTAAAATAACAAAAGGATCAAACCCAAGTGTAAATAGGAGGGTTGCTTACCGTGGACGAGAGGAAATGATAAAAATCCACATGAACTGTGAGTAGTTTACAGTTTTTATTCTATTTATAGGTTCAACAGCTACATTATATTATTCTAACACAGATAACAAAACTTACTACCAAGCAGAGCAGTTTTGCAATAGAGTAGGTGGAGTGCTCCTGAGGTACGGAGGAAGATTCAGTGAAGTGATTCGTACCTGTGAAAAATTCCAAACAGATGTTTGGACTGGTAAACCATGGTATAGGAAATGGGAAAGTAGGTGTACTTTTAAAAAAGAGATACAATCTTTAAAAGTTTAGTTTAGATAAAAGAGAATCATACATTACTTATTACATGATTTTATCATTTGTTTAAAACTATGCAAAAAAGAAAGTGAAAATTCACTTTCCGATTACCAATAGTAAAAAATGCTTCAATTTCGATCTTTCATTATTCTTAATTTAAAATAAGAATTAAAAAACAAAACATGCTTTTCGTACCAAAATATCAATTTGCTATTGAAGTAGTGAACAATGATATATTACAATGGAAATAAGAACTTGACCATACTAAATATAAAAACAATCAGTAACCACGCAAGCATAATTTTTTTTTATGAACTTAACATCAAATCTGACAAATTCTATCATACTCTCAATCAGAAATCGTCCTACTCAAAATGTTTTGTTTTCAAAGTTGGGAATCAGAATATTTCTTTTAAAAATCTAACCCCTCCCCTTCAGATTTAAATGGTTGTTCACTATTGGGGTTTCAAACGTCTGGACATTGTTATACGTGCTCTATTGTTTTATTCAATCGTCCGGACATTGTTATACGTGCTCTATTGTGTTATTCAAACGTCTGGACATTGTTATACGTGCTCTATTGTTTTATTCTAACGTCTGGACATTGTTATACGTGCTCTATTGTTTTATTCAAACGTCTGGACATTGTTATACGTGCTCTTTTGTTTTATTCAAACGTCTAGACATGCATTGCTATACGTGCTCTTTTGTTTACTCAAACGTCTGGACATTGTTATACGTGCTCAAATTTATTCGTTCAGTGTATGCTAACTTGTTTTTGTTAATATGTCTTTTTGATTGAGTTAGGCCATTTCAATTGATATTTTATAGTGTGTCTTTCCATGTTGTAATGTTACACTACTATTTCAGGTTAGCGTGACGATTGACGCCTGTTAAAACGTTTAAACCTGCTGCATTTGTTTGCACCTGTCCTAAGTCAGGAATCTGTTTCAGTGGTTGTCGTTTGTTGATGTGGTTTCTTAAGTGTTTCTCGTTTCTCGTTTTTTATATAGATTAGACCGTTGGTTTTCCTGTATGAATTGTTTTACACTAGTCTTTTTGGAGCCCTTTATAGCTTTATAGACGAGGCTCCGTGTTGAAGGCCGTACTTTGACCTATAATTAAAATTGAGAATGGAAATGGGGAATGTGTCAAAGAGACAATAACCCGATCATAGAGCAGACTACAGCCGAAGGCCACCAATGGGTCTTCAATGCAGCGAGAAACTTCCGCACCCGGAGACGTCCTTCAGCTGGCCCCTAAACAAATATGTATACTAGTTCAGTGATAATGGACATCATACTAAACTCCAAATTATACACAAGAAACTAAAATTAAAAATGATACAAGACTAACAAAGGCCAGAGGCTCCTGACTTGGGACAGGCGCAAAAATGCGGCGGGGTTAAACATGTTTTTTGAGATCTCAACCCTCCCCTATACCTCTAGGCAATGTAGAAAAAACAAACGTACAACAGTACGCACAGTAACTAATTGTTTACTTTTTATACATTGTGACTTGGATGGAGAGTTGTCTCATTGGCACTCATACCACATCTTCTTATTTCATCTATTGTTTTATTCAAACATCTGGACATTGTTATACGTGCTCTATCGTGTTATTCAAACGTCTGGACATTGTTATACGTGCTCTATTGTTTTATTCAAACGTCTTCACATTGTTATACGTGCTCTATTGTTTTATTCAAACGTCTGGACATTGTTATACGTGCCCTATAGTTTTATTCAAACGTCTGGACATTGTTATACGTGCTCTATTGTTTTATTCAAACGTCTGGACATTGTTATACGTGCTCTATTGTTTTATTCAAACGTCTTCATATTGTTATACGTGCTCTATTGTTTTATTCAAACGTCTTCACATTGTTATACGTGCTCTATTGTTTTATTCAAACGTCTTCATATTGTTACACGTGCTCTATTGTTTTATTCAAACGTCTGGACATTGTTATACGTGCTCTATTGTTTAATTCAAACGTCTGAACATTGTTATACGTGCTCTATTGTGTTATTCAAACGTCTGGACATTGTTATACGTGCTCTATTGTTTTGTTCAAACGTCTGGACATTGTTATACGTGCTCTATTGTTTTATTCAAACGTCTTCACATTGTTATACGTGCTCTATTGTTTTATTCAAACGTCTGGACATTGTTATACGTGCTCTATTGTTTTATTCAAACGTCTTCATATTGTTATACGTGCTCTATTGTTATATTCAAACGTCTTCACATTGTTATACGTGCTCTATTGTTTTATTCAAACGTCTTCATATTGTTACACGTGCTCTATTGTTTTATTCAAACGTCTGAACATTGTTATACGTGCTCTATTGTGTTATTCAAACGTCTGGACATTGTTATACGTGCTCTATTGTTTTGTTCAAACGTCTGGACATTGTTATACGTGCTCTATTGTTTTGTTCAAACGTCTGGACATTGTTATACGTGCTCTATTGTTTTATTCAGATTGTTATTATGATGGTAATATAAACACACTGAGAACAGCAGTAGTCAACAGAACCGCAGATAAACACGTAGCAGTATGTGCAGACTTTTGTGCCAATGAGAATTACACTAGTTTTGCTGTACAGGTCAGTGTAAAATTACTTAATATGGACTAATTCACAGTAAATGAGTTTTTTTTAATAATATTGAAAATTCATTCGCTGATTATAGGTCAGTTTATGTGTTGTAATTGTTGTCATTTAATCAGATTGCTACATTGCTAGTTTGGAGGTTTGGCGAGCGACATTGCGACCTGTGCCCTCCATATATGCACACCTATCCAGATATTTTAAAGGACCTATGACCTTTTGACTTTGTTAAACATAAAACTGTCAAATTTGCTTGAAAGTGACCTGGTGGACTGACCTTGTGATATAAGATTCGCAACATTTGTCCGGAATTTATAGACATATACACTGAACCAATTCATTCACAAACTTTACCAAGAGTACATTTATTCGTCTGTAAATAAATTGAGCCAGTTTACAGTAAAAATTAAAAAGAGGTACTAAATGGACAATCAATATTCAAAAACAAAAAACGACGAAAAAACATTCGGCAAAACATAACATAGAAAACAAAAGAATTCCTGCGAAACAAAAACGAGTGGTGTTCTCATGTTTTCCGAAATGGTATGCAGATCCTGCTCTACATATGGAAAATCTATGAAATGATATTACTAATTTAATAAAATCCTAGTATATTTCTTCACCTATCTCATACTAAAAAACCGGTGGTCCTCCCAAAACCATCAAATATACACCTAGTGAAAAGAACCGAAGACTGTTACTGCAAATATATATTAAACCATGTTAAGTATTACAATAAGAAGGTAATATAATTGCAAATGAGACGTTAATAATTCAACTATAGTTCACCAAACGGCCTTCAACAATGAACAAAGTCCATTCCTAGTATCAGGCTATAAACTGCTTTTATTTTTATTTTATGAATTCAAATGTAACGCTTCAGTATACATGTTTGCTTATACATCTATGACTACACATATTAATTCATTATTTTTACCTTTCACAGACTAAGTCATGCTTCTGTTATAACGAAGGTGTAACGTTTACTGCATCTTTCTGTTTTGATCAAACAATTAAATGTCCCGGTAACATTAATGATGTATGCGGAACCGGAGAGTATGGAAGCTTTCCATATTATGTTGTCTATGAAAAAGGTAACTTTAAAGCAAAAAGTATTACTTGGACTTTCTCGACGGGCTCAACGTTTACCGCAAGGGTTTATACAAGCCTTGTGTGGGATAAATGTGCCTTTACCCTTCTACTAGGTGTCAATTCCTGCTAATCTTGGTAGGCCCTAAATCTATGGCTGCTAGATAAGGATTTTATTAAAGTAGAGGATAAGCGTAGCCAATTGTCCTTTGTATCATGTATCCATTCGGTTCTCTCTGTGATGTACCAGTTCAATCACTGCAGGGTGAAAAAACCTAGTTCTACGGGACAATAACACAGCATGTTCAACTTTTCTGGGTAAAAAAAACCAGAATAGATCAGTGTACTAAATTGTGACATGATTCCTTGTGCTTTCATCTGAAAATGTCTGTTTTCTATTAATCGCAACTATGTTTAAGGGGAGTGCCCTCTTCCACTCAATGACGTCATACCTTACAATAACTTCCATTTTACGGAGACTACATGATAGGAAGTTATCAGCTCCCTAAGATGATTCCCATTGAAAAAAAACAAAGACGGACAAACAGCGAAATATGCCAAATAATCAAATCTTTTTTTCACGATACCCCGTCTTAAAAATCGATGTCAAATAAATTCAAAATAATAATGAATAAAAAAAATATATATATACATTTTGGAAACATTTTCTCTGTACTTTAAACAATTTGTAAAAATCAATAATGATAACTGATCATCATATCAACTATGTTTTTTTATCAATTCATTAAGAAAAAAGGTTGTCAAATTAAGCAAACAGGGTTTGTCTTACATTTATTAAAGCCATATTTTAAGGAATTCTTGGGCATAACACCTGAACGGTAAATATGGAAATAGTATCAACCAATCTTGACCTCCTTTTTGTCATTAGAAACAATATAACGACATTTTAAATTTTAAATGGATTTGTTTTTCGTTCATTATTTTGTACATAAATTAGACCGTTAGTTTTCTCGTTTGAATTGTTTTACATTTGTCATTTCCGGGCCTTTTATAGCTGACTATTCGGTATGGGTTTTGTACATTGTTGAAGGCCGTACAGTGACCTATAGTTGTCAATTTCTGTGCCATTTGGTCTCTTGGGGAGAGTTGTCTCATTGGCAATCATAGCACATCTTCTTTTTATAAGTACCAACCGTGTTGTAGTTATATATATGATATTACGTGTCTTTCCCAATCAGTCATGGATCATTACTTCTGAATCACAAAAGTTAAAACAGTTTATATCGGACTTGACCTCCAATTTGTCGTCAGATATAACATATTTTAAAATTTGAAAAGGAATTCGGTTAAATGGTTCACAAGTTATTGTACATGCAGAAACATCTGAAGCCATTCTACGCCAAATTAATAGCAGGATTTTCCTACGAAAAACCCAATTCAAAATCGAATTTTAGCATGGCGATTCTGGTGATTTACAAGGATTTCTATCATAAAAACGAGTATTACCCCTGTATTTGTTTCACTCTTATGGTCAGGAAAATATCTATTAGGGTGTGCGCATGGAGAATTTTTTTTGCTTCAAAACACCTTCATGCACTGCTACTATCCTTTAAAAAAATCGGGGGTCTGTTCTTAGTACAAATCAGAAACATGTCGTCGTCCTGGTATGCACGTTATATTTGTCACTGGATGTTAGATTATTTATCATCATCACCATTTCGAGTATTAGATATAATCAAAATTTCTACAGGTCAGCATAGGTCTTTTACAATAGACAGGTGTGTTATCCTAAATATATATCATGAAATATTTTCAACTGGCCATGAAACAAATAATTAGTCACGACAATCTATATAACATGTTTAGCTCTTGGTCTATAAAATGAATACAGCACTTAACAAAACTCTCTTGAGGACATACTCATTATACTTTCATAGTTATAACTAGTTGTACTTTATTTATAGTGAATTCTCTCCAAAATAATATCTGCCGCACGAGGTTATATGCAGACAAGACCACTCCCAGTAAAGAAACAGACTTAAACTGCAATTCAACAAAATTGACCTATATTTGCAGGGGTATGTAATTTTAGTTTATGTGTAACGACTCACTTACTAATGTAAGCGTTAATTATTTCAAAATATAAAGCATTCTCGGTAACAAAAACGGACGAAATAGTGGAAACTCAAATAATGACGAGATGTTATTTTCCTTTTAGGGTACGAACAATAAAATTGCCCATAGTCATATATATTCTAAAACGGCGAATTCGGTTGGTTAGTATTTAAAAAAAAATGTGGATTGTCAACAGGCAATACGTCGTTTAACTATTTGCAGAATCATTAAAATGATCTTCCGAATGATCTACCAAAATTCCTTTTATGCTCTTGAAGCTTTATTAAGTTTACAAAGTTCGATTTTCTAAACTAATCTTCTTTCCTTTTTGTTCTTGTCTCGTGAACAACATTCTAGGATTTTTTTTATCATATTGAAAATTACGAATTACTAATCTTAGAAACTTAAATGATGCATGTAGTACGCATAACTGTTTTATGATAGTTCATATGTGTATGCATCAATTGAATGTGAACCGAAAGTACTTGAAAGAAGACGAAGTCTTGTTACTAACTTTGTACATATATCTTGGCCTGTTTAACATTGATGTGGTTAAAGAGGGCTCACATTTCTTTTTGATTACACTGGACGTTAAGCAATAATCAATCAATCAATATTTTTGATTATTTGTTGTATACTTGATAATGAGAAACTAATTTGATAAGCATGTGTGGATTCAAGCGGGGCACACCGGCAAACTACCCTGTAAATAAGAAATTTTATTTTAAAAAACTTTAATGTAAATTTACGGCCAATTTTGCATCAAAATAAGGTTCTCTAATTTCTTATTCTCATGAGTGCCCCCTCTCCTATTGTTAAATCCTGGATCCCCGACTGATGAGAACGTTTCACATAAATGCTATTATAACGCTTTCAACAATAAGTGGAAAGCTTCGACGAACCCAGATAAAGATGGAGACAGGGTACAAAGCAATAATCAAATATTTTTTTTATTTCAGTTGGTAGATCAGACGAAATTAAATGTAATTTTAATGATTTACTACAATCAAAGAGTTCAGCAGACAATGTCACCGGAGGAAAAGGTTTGTAACAAGAAGATATTGTAAATAAAGAGATGTCACCGACGGAACCCACTCAACTATACACAAAACAGAAAAAAATATATTAATAAGAGTTCATTATACGATCTTCAACATTAGACACGTGTTTTATGTTTTATTATGTTTTATACTCCATCTCGTGTCACTTTTTATTCAACTTACCAACCGTTAGCATCTCAATTAAGTCAAAAACTAACGTAGACCGTGAAAGAAAAACAAAAGAAATGGCATATCCAATCGATCTGAAAATTTTGCTCACTCCCATCGTAAAAATGACAAAATTCCACCCCTGCTGTAGTGTTAATAAAACTCAGGACGCATGAAATTTCATAAAAGCTTAAACAAATACATTTTGTACTACCAAAAATCTGACAGCAACATTTGATTATTCAAACAAATTTGTTTGCATAAGAAAGAACCTTCTGTCGTTACGAGTTTATACGAGGAAAAGATAAGTTGATGAACGTCTATGAGACAGCAAACCTACCATATACTATACGATAACCCGTCCCCCATGAGACAGCAAACCTACTATATACTATACGATAACCCGTCCCCCATGAGACAGCAAACCTACTATATACTATACGATAATCCGTCCCCCATGAGACCGCAAACCTACTATATACTATACGATAACCCGTCCCCCATGAGACAGCAAACCTACTATATACTATACGATAACCCGTCCCCCATGAGACAGCAAACCTACCATATACTATACGATAATCCGTCCCCCATGAGACCGCAAACCTACTATATACTATACGATAACCCGTCCCCCATGAGACAGCAAACCTACTATATACTATACGATAACCCGTCCCCCATGAGACAGAAAACCTACTATATACAATACGATTACCCGTTCCCCATGGGACAGCAAACCTACTATATACTATACGATAACCCGTCCCCCATGAGACAGCAAACTTCTATATACTATACGACAACCCGTCCCCCATGAGACAGCAAACCTACTATATAATATACGATAACCCGTCCCCCATCCCCTAACAAAAAAAAACCAAATAAATAAAAAGTGTCGATAGTTTTGGCTGTGAATTTTGGGCTACCATTTAGCACAATACTCATAAAAAACCCAGTAAAACAAGTTATAAAAATCAAATATCAATAAAATCTTTATGAAATGGCACTGTTCCGCCTGCAGTTACTGATTTGACAAGAAACCCCTTTAAAAGAATCAGATGACTAGACTAGATCTAAATAAGAGCAATGCAGTACGAATACACCTTGCTTGGCAAACTCTACTCATATATTTTGCAGTGATCGGGAAGGACGTGCGCCATGCGCCAATTTCGCTTATCGGCCAGAAATGGCGCATACAGTGACAAATGTAAGCGCCCACGTGGCGCACGATATATTTCACTTCGTTTTGAAACATTTAGATATCGTCAAATGGATATCCGATCGTGTTTCGTGTTGCCATGTGTGTGTACACAACTGTGTAGTGTTCCCTCCAATGATAGAAGCCCCTATATATTTTCGGGACGTCTCGGGTGTTTTCCTATGGTAATAATAGCAACATGCGGTATAACTGATTACCCCAAAAACGTAATTAACCATCATTCATGATATAAAATTTTATAAACAACTTTAAATTTGTGAAATTTTGCTAGTACAGAGGAGAATTTTTCTCTAATTATATTTTTTTAAGTAAGCTTGCTATTATTTTGATTGAAAAACCCAAAAGCTTTTTTATGAATATAGTATTTGTCTCCATAAAAGGCGCTTAACTGTCCTTGTCAATTTGTTTTGTTCTTTGGCTCGTTTGAACATTTTGTAAACATGCCTTCCACAGGCGCTTGGGTATATGATACTGAAATTTTTTTTTAATTTTTTTTTTTTGTTGATTAAAATATTCGATTTTCTATATTTATACTACATATCTATCACTACTGCGCATGTCTCACCTAGTTTCGAGTGATTTTACCAACTTTGAGACAAACCCCCATTTTACTATCCACACTAAGAAACAAAAAGGCAACTAACTCGACGACATCTTGCGTGCTATAAATAAATAATAAAATTGACCTACCTGGATTCCCCATCGAATTTTATGGAAAACATGCCTTTCTCGCAGTCCGATCGCAGACGTCGTTTCTATTTATCAACTTGGTACTGTTCGTAACATTTTTAGTCCATCTCAAGCATATAATAAAAAGATTTTCACTATTTTCACTAAATTCAAATTTACGTGCGCGGAAGTTTACTGTTAATATTCAGGGGAAGTTACTTTTTCCCGAACTTTTGTTAAAGGGAAGTAATATTTTCCCGGACTTTTTCGGAACATCTCTGCAAGTACACATAAAACAAAGAAAGGGATACGATGATTTCCGAACTATTATAAAAAAGGCGCAACTTTTTCGTTGCTGAAAAAAGGAAAAGATCTGTTTCAGAAATAATGGCAAGTCAACCAAAGGAAGAAATTACGAAGGAAAACATAGTTTCATGGTAATTTATGAATATACAAATGCTCACACAAAATTGTCTTATGAAAAGAACTAAAAAAATAATCCATGGACCATTTGATCTGATAATTTTTTTTTTTTTTTTTTTTGGGGGGGGGGGGGTTGCACTAACAATCAAATTAAAGGCTTGATCTTGTTCTTCGTCCATCATATCTGTTTGTTTACATTCAGTATTAGTTCGGAATTCATCGTACCCCTTTCTTTGTTTTATGTGTACTTGCAGAGATGTTCCGAAAAAGTCCGGGAAAATATTACTTCCCTTTAACAAAAGTTCGGGAAAAAGTAACTTCCCCTGAATATTAACAGTAAACCTCCGGGCACGTAAATTTGAATTTAGTGAAAATAGTGAAAATCTTTTTATTATATGCTTGAGATGGACTTAAAATGTTACGAACAGTACCAATTTGATAAATAGAAACGACGTCTGCGATCGGACTACGAGAAAGGCATGTTTTCCATAAAATTCGATGGGGAATCCAGGTAGGTCAATTTTATTATTTATTTATAGCACGCAAGATGGCGTCGAGTTAGTTGCCTTTTTGTTTCTTAGTGTGGATAGTAAAATGGGGGTTTGTCTCAAAGTTGGTAAAATCACTCGAAACTAGGTGAGACATGCGCAGTAGTGATAGATATGTAGTATAAATATAGAAAATTGAATATTTTAATCAACAAAAAAAAAATTTCAGTATCATATACCCAAGCGCCCGTGATGCCTTCAGCGAATGGTTGTTGTGTCTTATCAATTAAAGTTACTCTCTACTGTTATTCTTGTCATCGTGATGAAGTAATAATAATACAAGAAGTGCTGAGGAAATGCCAGAAACGTCCTCTAATACGGAACGTCTGGAATAAGTATGGTATCGACGAAGACCCAAATTTAATGTAAAAAAAACATGAACATGAACAAGGCAACAGTACCAGTTTTAACATTGTAAATAAAGGTTATCGTAAATATTGCCCGGTTTGGAAGAAGTTAATGTATATTCATTGAAATTGAAATTACAAAATCACAGGAACAATATCCATGATATCAATTAGAATCATACAGGTAAGTACCACTACCTCTTTGCTGAAATATACACTTTTTTATTTTTTTATTGTAAACGAATGGCCCACTCATTTGACAACATGGCCCATTAATTCTAAAAATGGCCCATTGAATTTATTTTTTGGGGTCCCTGGGCCCATAGAGAAAAAATCCTTCCAGATCACTGATTTTGTTTTGGATACTCGTTCACCTAGAATTTATTCTATGGCCCGTTGTTCTATGATAATGCGTTAGGTCATAGCTCATTCTCGTATTATGCATGTATCATGCAGTAAATCATATTGCATTCGAAAGCTAAGGCAATAAGATACTCTGATTGAAATATTATACTTTTAATGATTTTATGATAATATTTCTCTATTTCTATTACAGGTATGGTCAGTGGTCTAGTTGTTGACAATGTTGCTATTTCTATTACAGGTATGGTCAGTGGTCTAGTTGTTGGCAATGTTTTTATTTCTATTACAGGTATGGTCAGTGGTCTAGTTGTTGACAATGTTATTATTTCTATTACAGGTATGGTCAGTGGTCTAGTTGTTGACAATGTTGTTATTTCTATTACAGGTATGGTCAGTGGTCTAGTTGTTGACAATGTTGTTATTTCTATTACAGGTATGGTCAGTGGTCTAGTTGTTGGCAATGTGTTATTACAGGTATGGTCAGTGGTCTAGTTGTTGGCAATGTTGTTATTTTTATTACAGGTATGGTCAGTGGTCTAGTTGTTGGCAATGTTTTAATTTCTATTACAGGTATGGTCAGTGGTCTAGTTGTTGGCAATGTTGTTATTTCTATTACAGGTATGGTCAGTGGTCTAGTTGTTGTCAATGTTTTTATTTCTATTACAGGTATGGTCAGTGGTCTAGTTGTTGGCAATGTTTTTATTTCTATTACAGGTATGGTCAGTGGTCTAGTTGTTGGCAATGTTGTTATTTTGATTTTGATCTTTGTTATCATGTTCATCATTTACAGGAAACATAGGTGAGATTTCAAATTTATATCTTTTCTATTTCTATACACGATAAAATTATTGTTGTTTGCTTAACGTCCAATGGCAAATATTTCTATCACGATCCTGCATTAATAACATGTAGTGGGCTTATAATGATAGTACAAAAAGTTCAGTAAATTCAAATGTACAGCTGAGCATATTTGTAATTAAGAGGGAAGAGTAAAAGAGAGGCGAAAGTTGTTAAAGGGATATTCAAACTCATAAGTCGAAAACAAACTGACAATGCAATGACAAAAAAGCAAAATTCGACCGAAAGACACACAATAGTATACAAAACACAAGATAGAAAACTAAAGACTGAGCAATATAAATCCCAACAAAAACCGGGAATGATCTCAGGTGTTCTGCAAGGGTAAGAACATCCTGTGCGACATGTACCACAAATCGTGTTGCTCATGCAAGTACAAACCTGGTGATAAATCGGTAAGTCACATTTTAGGAAAAGTGGACGGGATTGTGATTACGACAATTGGAACATATTAGTCGTCATTTGTGAAACAAAATATGATACATTTGAGAACTCAAACATCAAATTCGTCACTTATACGTATACATTAGAAAAGGTCATGCATACATGAGTCATAAACCTCTGGCATATTGTTGAGTCTACTAATGTGTGACTTTTTGTATTCAAATCTAAACCTGGGATGATCTAGATCTTGACATATCAAACATAGACGAGAAAATTTCAAAAAAAAAGACATTCGAGGAACACAATTCTTAAAACATAATATGTGGACTTGCTACATTGCGATATCTGAAGACAAAAACGGTAAATAATAATGAACTCATATTTCTTTTAACTTTAATTTGAATCATATATTTAGTCATTTCAATATATGAATATTAAAGAATAAATCAGTGACGACAATCGATCATCTTTGAATACCGTATGTTGACAACTGTATGTAGTTTGTTTTCTTTTCATTTTGTGATCTTTCATTTGACGTACATTTCCTTTGATCTATATCAATCATTTCAAAAAATTAGTAAGATTTCTTATATTATTATTTCTTACTATTGTTTTTTAGAAAAAATGGCCAAACATCTAAATCAATTATGAGGCCAGAAAATAATGACGTGAAGAAAAATGAGTTTTCATTATACGCCTCGGTATCAGAAGAAACAATTATATCCGGGAATGTTCTATCAAATGATCAAGCAAACTTAGTTTCTTCTGACTCAAAAAATGCTAAGACGGATCAGAAATTTATCTCGTTTGATAATACAAAAACTTCAAATACGGAGAAAGAAGATCATTATGAAATAAAACCGGATGGAGTTTACGACGTTTCTTCCCATAATGCAATGAACAAAATGGATGGGGGAAATGACAATATTTACGATCGTCAATTGGAAGACACATACGACACAGGAAATCTTCAAAATATCAACCAGACCGTAGATGTTTACGATCACACATAGGAATAATTGTGTTTAATTGAATTCAATGGACCTTGGACATACTACAGTCAAGTATGAGGGTCTGGATGGAAAGGGGGGGGGGGGGGTCCTTCAATTCTGTATTCTTTCATTTTTTGAACCATCTTCTTTATTCTTTTAAAATTTTGCCTGTTATTCTCTATTCTTTATATTTTAACACCCCATAATTCTCTATTCTTTTTTTTTTACCTATTTTCCTTTATTCTTTATATTTTTTGCCCTTTATTCAACACTTTTTGTCCATTATTCTTTAATTTTAAAACCCCATCCAGACCATAAAGTATTGGATAAAAGATTGAACATATGCCAACTTAGCCTTAATCGTGTCTAACATCAAGCATGTTCCCTTTTACTTGGATACGATATCAATGATGATCTCTATTAAACTATATGAAATTATTGTTTGATGCTAATAAATGATGAAATTGCATACTTTCCTCTTCTACAATCAGACTATAACGAAGCAACTCATTTCGTTTTACCATATATACTATATTTGTGTCCGTTTCGCATCTATTATTCTATTTGATTATTGAACAACATAAATTTTTCCTCATTATAAATCAAATGCGTTTGAAAAATTGCGCAATTATTAGATGCAAAAACAAAGGAGATCAAAGAAGAAACCTACTGGGGTTAATTGTATATATTCTAATGGAATTGAACAATTTGAATTTTCATATTCATCATGTTGTACTTCATAAAAATTGATTAGCCCGACGGTGCCACATGCCGAATCACTTGATATTACCTTTATCAACTTTTATTATGGAAGTAACTCGACGGTTGTCACATGTGAAGCAGGATTTTCTAACCTTTCCGGAGCATTTGATACATCGATCATGACAAAAGAAAATCATTCCAAGGTTAATGGGGTATAAAAAGGCGGAAGATACAAAAGGTACAAAAGAAACTACGCCGTCATGGCAAAAAAATGATAATCGATGAAAAGACAAATAACAGTCGACAGAACACAACATAGAAAACTAAAAACTAAGAAACACGACCCCCACCAATAATGGGGGGTGAAATGACGTGCTTATGAATGGTGAAACATTGCTGTTCCCAAGTACATTATTTAGCGGGTTGTTATTTTATAAATGTCAATACATTAACGTTTATAGCGCTGGGGTTAAATTCCATTAACAAACGAGAAGTGAGACAATTATAATATTGTTGACTTGTACAAGCTATTCTAACTCATAATATATTACACAAGTCATGATCACAACATCAACGAAAACGTTCATGCTTACTATAAAACATATTTTCTCAAATTAGAAATAAAAACCCAGTTCAATCTTAAAGTTCCATTTCACATTTGCAGCCACATTTTACTAAACAGAAAACAAAATGTTTGGATCATCTTCCTTGTTTTATGAGTTCATACAGTTCTTGGCAGAAGTTTCATAGTATATAATGAAATGTAAGTGATGTCATTACAATTGGGCGGAGGAAACAATTAAATGTATACTTGCATCATGAACAAACTAATGCCCGTCGCTATGGAGATAGCAGTGCTCAAAACACGTTACACCGCATCAACATACCTTGGACATTGTAAACCGCAAAAACTCTGCTATAGCCGTCTGTCTTGTTAGTGTCACCTCTTGATTGTAATGAAATTGGGATGAGAGGTTTATATCAAGAACTTCTTAATTTATACCAAGTCTTGATACAGACTTTAATTGGAACAGAGACATAATTATAATACCATATGACAGTCTTTACTTATCGCAAGACATAGAAATGCTAACAGACAAAATAGACATATTGATATTATAGGGTTTTTCAATAAGCAGATGTATCTATTCATTGTTCAGTATGATTGAACAAGTTCCTACTATTAAGAACAAGCAGTATCTATTCATTGTTCAGTAGGATTGAACAAGTTCCTACTATTAAGAACAAGCAATATTTATTCATTGTTCAGTAGGATTGAACAAGTTCCTACTATTAAGGACTAGCAGTATCTATTCATTGTTCAGCAGGATTGAACAAGTTCCTACTATTAAGAACAAGCAGTATCTATTCATTGTTCAGCAGGATTGAACAAGTTCCTACTATTAAGAACAAGCAGTATCTATTCATTGTTCAGTAGGATTGAACAAGTTCCTACTATTAAGAACAAGCAATATTTATTCATTGTTCAGTAGGATTGAACAAGTTCCTAATATTAAGAACAAGCAGCATCTATTCATTGTTCAGTAGGATTGAACAAGTTCCTACTATTAAGAAAAAGCAGTATCTATTCATTGTTCAGTAGGATTGAACAAGTTCTTACTATTAAGAACAATCAGTATCTATTCATTGTTCAGTAGGATTGAACAAGCTCCTACTATTAAGTACAAGCAGTATCTATTCATTGTTCAGTAGGATTCAACAAGTTCTTACTATTAAGAACAAGCAGTATCTATTCATTGTTCAGGAGGATTGAACAAGTTTTAATTATTAAGAACAAGCAGTATCTATTCATTGTTCAGTAGGATTCAACAAGTTCTTACTATTAAGAACAAGCAATATTTATTCATTGTTCAGTAGGATTGAACAAGTTCCTAATATTAAGAACAAGCAGCATCTATTCATTGTTCAGTAGGATTGAACAAGCTCCTACTATTAAGAACAAGCAATATCTATTCATTGTTCAGTAGGATTCAACAAGTTCTTACTACTAAGAACAAGCAGTATCTATTCATTGTTCAGTAGGATTGAACAAGTTTTAATTATTAAGAACAAGCAGTATCTATTCATTGTTCAGTAGGATTCAACAAGTTCTTACTATTAAGAACAAGCAATATTTATTCATTGTTCAGTAGGATTGAACAAGTTCCTAATATTAAGAACAAGCAGCATCTATTCATTGTTCAGTAGGATTGAACAAGTTCCTACTATTAAGAACAAGCAGTATATATTCATTGTTCAGTAGGATTGAACAAGTTTTTACTATTAAGCACAAGCAGTATCTATTCATTGTTCAGTAGGATTGAACAAGTTCTTACTATTAAGAACAAGCAATATTTATTCATTGTTCAGTAGGATTGAACAAGTTCCTACTATTACTATGACGAAATTAATAATCACACGTGTTAATCTTTAATTGAAAATTGAATTAAAAACATAGAAGTTCAATAGCGTTTTCAATAGTAATATGATGACTTCCTTTATACTTCCTTTTAACTATAACATATAACTCCATAAATATAGGTTTACATAGTCATTTTAAAAGGACAGCTTAGCTATGCACAGAATAATGTATATTTGAGGATCATATGACTAGAGTATAGGTTTCCTTACTGATTTTGTTTTGATTTGCGTTGACTGGATTCAAATTTTACATGAGATGGATTTAACGATTAAAAGCACACTACAGTTACTGCTTCTTTTTACATATTGCATTAACGTATTCTGAAAGATCTTTTGATTGGACTTGGTTATTATTACAATGCTCGACACAGATTTTTATAATGGATATAATATGAAAATAAGGAGGTGTGGTATGATAGTCAATGAGACAACTATCCATAAAAGTTCAAATGAAGTAGATGTACGCACTTATAGGCAACCGTACGGCCTTCAACAGTGAAAAAAATCCATACCGTGTAGTCGGCTTTAAAAGACCCGACATTATAAATGTGAACCAATTCTTAAAAAACAAATAATGTACGAAAAACAAATATGACAGTCATGAACCAACGACAACGACTTAGAACACGTCATAAACAGTTTGAAAAACGCATGACCTCGTGCAATGTGCCTTATAGCTTGACTTACATCTTAACACTGAAAATAAGGGTCGGTAGAGAACAAACAATTACCACAAAAGGGATGATGTCAGCGTAACATCTGTGAACTTTTTATTTCTTTGTAGCAACATTCCCACAGCGCCCGCATAAGGAGTATTATAATTTCCATTATAAAGGGTTGCTGCTTACAAATGAGCTAATGGATTAAGGGACCCAAGTGGTAACATTGAAGTTCCCCACTTCGAAAATTTGATAAACGTCTTTACGAGTTGACTATGTATATAATAGTCAAGTCTGATGATACATGTACCATTCATGTCTGTATATAATAGTCAAGTCTGATGATACATGTACCATTCAAGTCTGTATATAATAGTCAAATCTGATGATACATGTACCATTCAAATCTGATGATACATGTACCATATACTGTATATAATAGGAAACTTCGGTTTTGTATACTTGCTTTATTTATACTTTTTGTCGAATTAAAAATTCAGCTAAACTATTCTCATCGGAGTATAGAACTATTGTGTTTTAAATGATGTTTTAGTACGCGAATTATTCATTTGATTTAAAATAAAAGTTGATCTTGTCAGCTGTGTTGAAGTTTTGTCTTTCTCAAATGGAAAAAACTGTATTTAGCTATACAATTAAAGGAACTTAATACAGTTATTCAGAAACGACACTATGTTAACCCCGCAATCTCAACAAACGCATACATTTTGAAACTAACACTATAATCATACTGCCCTGGATGTTAGGGTAGACTGAAACACCAGGGAACAAATGATCAATTATAAATTGGGCCAAGAAATAGTGCAAAGGAAGGGATGGAGTACAAGGGTGACAATTGTAGGTTTTGAACATCTAATGAATTTGTCATTGTTGCCCCTTATGCTAAATGAGACAACTGACAATAATCAAATATGCTTACAGCATCAAGTTATTTTCATATAATAATACACACGATACCCTATATTTTCATGTAAAACTTTTTTAGGTTCGTCTTTGATAGTTTCTGTTATTACAACTTTGATAGATTCAGATTAAGAGCTTGCTATACAGTTCATACTCCTGTTTACTTTTGAAGACTGTGTTTCCCTCTAGATATTGTTTGGTTTATTGTGTCGTGCGGTTGCAGTCGCATATTCGATTACCACACATCTCATTTGTTGAGGCATGTTGCATTTATTCCAGAATCGATTTGAAATATCGACATATGCATTGACGCTACACACTGTTAGTGTCTTTATTTCAGAAAAGTTCATTACTACACGCTAATAGCATACAGAGGATATAAAATATATTCAATTCTTATATAGACGTTCTTCAATCGCTTTGAGTACACACCCGTCGTAGAATATGAATATATTGTATGTCAGCTAGTCGGCAACGACAATATGTGCTTGGGATGTTCCAATCGCACTCCCACGTCGTATACTTTTCATGAATGAGTTATCCGAGGTCAATCGGTGTAAATGATGTCTTTGATTTTACCATGGATTGGCCCCTTATGCTAAATATTTTACCGCGAGCGATAGTTATAGGGGTAAAATATAGGCATAAAGGACCAACCCGTGGTAAAATCATTATAAAGTCAAGCCAAAATGAATTATTTCTTAAGCACTTATAAAATGTTGAGCATAAAAACACAAAACATACTATACATATTAAAAAAAAAAAAAACAACATTAAAATGCATGTCACATTTATTAATAGTTATATGAAATAATTTAATTTATTATATTTACTGTTGCTAATCAAAATGAAAATATTTAGTAGTAGTATGTCTTATCAGAATATATTCAGTATAATGTGATTTTAATTATAGTAATGAAAGGAACGGTCAACGTTTTATTCATGCACAGGTATTGCATGCTTGCTGTCTCTTTACTGGTCCGGTACAATGGAGCCCGCCATGTTTAGGTGTCGGATTATTGCAGAACCTTTCACTTTCTCTGTATCCTTGGCAACCGGAAGGTATAACGCAAGACGACCATAATCCCCATTTACCAAAGCCTCCATCGACAGCTGTCAAAATATATGAACACTACATCTATATATTAAACTGTAAATTATTTAAATGTTTACCCCAGATTGCACCGATTACAAGCGTGATTTGCCTTTTAGTTGCTCTCACCAAACCGATTACAAGAGTATCGCAGAGGAGTTAACCTGTCGAAAACTTATATACTCCGGAGACAAAAGTCGATAATATGAAAAAATTCTATTGACTTTCTTTACCCCATACTTTTCTAATTATATATATTTCAATAATCTTTCCAAAAATTTCTAGCTATATGTACTATGTGTTAAATTCAATAGGCTAAGCATGAAAATGAAAATGTCATTGACAGGAAGTTGCTTATTCAATAAACAGATCAAGACACATAGATAGTAACGGAGTGTGTCTCTTTGCTGTGTGGAGGCCGTAGAAAGTTTCCCCGTGCTTGATATGTATGCTCTTCTGTATTTTTAACGTTATAATGTATCTATTCTTGAGACAACTTCTCTTATGTGTGCCACATCATTCTCTCAATCTTAGGCCAGTTTGTGTACTAACATTTTAATAAGACGCACACCAGCTATTGTTAATCCTCATTCCGATCTACTTTGAAATTTTCACTTCCAAACATTTTATGGATCAATATACCGTTATTTTGTTTTACATCAGACCTTACTGGTTACCGAAATTTTCGAATACACTAAACAAGGTACAAATATACTTCATATCTGAGAAACAGACAATATATGCCCTCAATTTTAGAATTCCTTCATACAGTTTTGTATTATTTAAAATTATCAGTCAATATGTGTTCTACAGGATTACAAGTCCTTCACCTTTCATCTGATACCTTAATTACTAAAATATATTCTACATAGTTTTATATTTACACATTTGCGTAAGAACTGTTTTGTTTTAAATCTGTACAACTTTCCAGTATGTTCTTTTTTGACTCGGCCGGATTTGGTGGTGTTACATTTTACAAAGTCTATCCAAATTATTTTTGAAAAGAATTCCGCTCAAACCGGTTCAAGAGGCCATCTTAAACTTGCAGTGAGGTGAGAGTATTTTTGCTCCGCGCTGTTCTTTTGCTTTTTTGTGTTTTTTTTTCTATGCATGTACTGAATTTGTGTCATGGATTTTTCATATCTTTTGTTTTTCTATTAAAGTCACTTGCTTTCATGTTAAGATGGGAGAAGTTCATTTTATCCGTTTGTCTCTAGCAGGTATTTCACATGAAACAGAGTTCGATAAAACATCCTACAGTCAATTCAACTAGTCCAAACGTACGGACTTCTTATACCACAATATGTACATTCAATGGTTGTTTTATGTTGTATACGAGCAGGACAAAAAGAAACTGTTTTCCCACAGAAATTATTCTGAGAATATCTACCAAAGAAGGACAACTCTTCTTCAATTTTGAAACAACCGACGCTACGAAAGAAGAAAATGTAAGTCAAGCTTAAAGTCAATACAAACGATAATTTTTTAAGTAGCAAAACGATAATTTTCTTAAAGTCAATACAAAAAGATATTTTTTTAAGGTCAATACAAAACGATAACTTGTTTTTTATGTCAATACAAAACGACAATTTTTGTTTAAGTCAATACAAAAACGATAGTTTTTTAAGTCAATACCAAACGATAAAAATAAACTTACCACACGGATTGTCGCTACAGTTCACTGTATTGACATTATTTCCGTCACAGTCAGCTCCCCCATTTGCTGGGGACGGATTATTACAAGTTCGGTGTTGAGTTTTAGTTCCTCCTAAAAGTATTGAATAGCAATCTTTAGAAGAATATGCAGTAAATCTGTCTTTTGATACCTGTTTTTATTCATATTTACTTATTAAAAAAAACAACCAGTACAATCTTACAATACAATTATAATTGTAACGATTTTAAATTTTACAGAATATAGATTGATGGTGGGTATTTATAATTTATAAGTAATAATGAAGTAAAATACTATCAGATATCAGCAAACGCTTAGGCATATGCATTTGGTTATCGCGAGTTTAATATGTTTTATTTTTCAAAAGTAGTAATGTCTACAAATAAAATACATGTAGTAAATATTCACATTGAAAGAAGTACGAACTATTATCGTAAAATTCAAGTGCTTTATTCCTTATGTCATGTACTTATTATGACAAGTCTTAAACCCATTTTGTCTTCATTCAAAATCTGTGTCGTTGGTTATTGTTTAAAATTCTTTGTCGGTCTTCGACTGATCTTGTTTCACTTTTTGTACGTTTCTGCTTCGACGCATTGTTGGATTTTACTCATATCTTTTTAAACCACGTGTTTACGTATGTATATCCTAATCAGAGAACAAAAACGGACTTAGAAAATATGTTTTCTTTTCCAAACTATTCCTTAGATAACCAAGACTCAATAATGAAATGTGAGAATAAAAAATTATACTGTGCCAGCTAGCTTCAGGACAATGATTTATACTGATTAAATCATTCAATGTGATACGTACTGTATCAGCCATCCGTGATGATATCGAAATCAGTCACGTTTTCAAATGATTTTGTAAATCCCTATTTTGTATGACGTCACGTCATTGAAATCAATCACGGATACAAAGGTTTGATCAAACCTCAATTCTGCATTACGTCATGTAACGTGAACACATCTACCTGAAATATATAATAAAGTTGATAGGATATGACCTTTCAAATACCACACACCGTATCAACCCTCAACCAATATACCACGAGTAGAGCTCCTGGAATTATATTGATGTCTCTCTTTGATACGGGTGCGATATTGAAAATGTCATATGGTATTCTCTATTCATAATACGTACCACCACAGGTGACGGAACATTCATCAAATGAAGACCAACTGGACCAACCGCCATTTATGACTTGTCTTGAAGTAAATGGAAGTTGTGAACCTGCTCCCCAATCCTGTAAACATAGAGCATTATACACCAGTTACTTTAATAATAAGCGAATAACCTTTTTCCAAATAGAAATGAAACGAAATCAGTTTATCAAGTTTGAATTGGCCGCAATCTTTACCATGCAGGAATCTGGATTATTAGATGGTTAAAAAGTTTAACACATTATACGTTATGAGATAGTTGATATTTAAAACGACAAATGAAATGTTATGATTTTTATTTGAAACAGCTCATCACACTAGTTTAAATTAGGCAAGATAACCCGCTCTTCTATTTTCATACAGCATATTAAACATTAGAAATACTTTTACTCTTAAGAGAAAGTTGCATTGTTTATTAATATTATTAGTCTGACTGTTCTTTAAAGCATTATACAAGAATGAGGATTTGTAAAAGAAACTACACATCTTTCATAAACGTTACTTGTCCTTTACCTGAGGTGGTCCCTGAGCAGTTGCAACTAATGTCCGAGTATCAGTACTCATTTGGCCCTAAAAAATATTAAGAAAAACATAAATTTACCCTTGAAAGTTTCTTATCTAAAGAATAATGGTGTTCTAAATTCTTTATTATAATAGTTAGAAACCATGAGTTCATCTTTTTATTATTAACCGTATTCCAGTTTACGATTCCATTTGTGTCTATAGCTACAAATGTATACATATATAGTTTGATCTAATGTCTATTATTTTTGGTGCTTTTTTTGTCATATAGCTCTTCAACTGTTTCGGTTGTCATGCATCTTTGGTTTTCAGAAAATTCGGCTTTGAGCGTTCCTGATGAAAGTAAATCAAGTAAAGCGCTTCGGACCAGTGAAATTTATAAAGTGATGTTCATATTTTTTATTCGGAAACCATATGTACAATCTGTTTGACAGTTTTCCTGAAAGTGACATAGGTCATGTAAACTAGGTAAAAGTGCAGGAAAGAAAATAAAATGATATCCAAAAACAGGAAAACGTAAATGACTTTAATAGAAAAGCAACACAATTTTATTTGGGAAAATTCATATTCTTTGAATGAAAACAGAGGTATATATAACAAATTAAAAAAATCAATATTTACGCTGCTTGGTTTTTTGTAAGTTCCAGGACTTGTGTATGCAGCATTACGACAGTCACCGTTTGACCTATCACCAGACAGTATCTCAACCTTCAGCATAGGACAAGAACCCTCACATTCTTTCGTGGTAGTAGATGTTCTTTGATTATAGCTTATAAACTTCACGAATAACATTCTGAAAAGGAAAAAAAAACATACTTCAAATATTATTACTGTCTCTGTATATATACATAGATGTAGATCGTGTTATATTCTTCACAAATAAAAAAGAGTTGTGAAGTATAGGTACATACGACCCAACGATTATTACAGGTAATGAGTCTTTGTACAATTTGCCAAGTATAAAGTCGGGCCGAATCGAAACAAGCATGTAAATAAATTTGACAGAAACAGTAAAAAATCTCCCATCAATACCAAATTCCCCAAATGACAAAATGTTAATGCATATGTTACAAAAGACCACCACTACCGAGGTCTCTGACTTAGATAAGAAGATGACCATACGACAGGGTATAATATTCAGACATGGCCAAATAAAATACAACATTGAACAGTTTTGAAACTGAAAATGACTAAAAGTTGTGCCAATAACGGCTACGGCCATCTAGGTCTTGTGGAAGAAAAATCTTATGTGTAAAAAATTCATTAGATAAAGGACGGATTTAGAAGTGCTACTCACACATTATATCTGTAACAAAAATCTACAGCAAGAATGCGAGAATATTCCCAAAAAGTTTACAAGGTTCATTAATCGTTCATTCAAATACATATGTTATGAGTAAATTAGAAACACGTTAATTAAGTAACAAAAAGTAAAATTACAAAAATACCGAACTCCAAGGAAATTTCAAAGCGGAAAGTCCTTTATTAATTAGCAAAATCAAAAGCTCAAACACATCAAACGAATGGAAAACAACTGTCATATTCCATCATCTTTATCAAGCACACAAATATAACTTTCCAACATTTTGATGTATATATTCTCTTTTGTTTAATTTTCAATTTCCGAAAAGATGAAAAAACCAACTTATCGAGCTAACCCTGAAATAACTTACTGCGAACACTTACCTTATGAATCTGCCATAGAAATATCTTAATGAGGACACTATCCTAATTAATATATCCCAGAAATATACGTTAATGTGACCAATATAATCGGCGTCAAGTATGGGAATACTTACCTATTCGAGCTATCCCAGAAATATCTGTCTCCAATGGTATCGGCGTCAAGATCGGTTATTGAGGACACTTCTGTCCAATCATTTGTCTTTGGTCGCCAGAGTGGAGACCAGGAATAGAGATTGAAAGTGGCATCAGGTGGTAAACACATACCGACTCTGACAAACTGATTCCTACAAAACATAATGAGGATGTATAGCTAGCCTAATATTCAATGTTGCCTTTGCTTGATGTTTGGCCCTGCTAGAATAGGCGGAATTCCATCCCGACAAAAAGATTTATCGATGCTCAAATTTTCTATGTATGTTTTGTGAACTGTTGTTTATAACTTTGCAATCTCTGTCAATAATAGGGTAATGTCAATGTCAATAATTTCTCTAAATTTTGGGTGTGAATTCGATTTTTACTATACCAATTAACTTGTATTTATGTTATTTAGATGTGATATCATAAAGTTTAACAATGCATTTGTTTTTGTCTCATTGTCTGATATCTTACATAATTTTTTTTATATGGAGTGGTTCTCAACACAAATCATCTCATTTCATTATGTTCTTTTTTCAACTTACAATTCAACTCCGTTGGCATAAATCCAAAATATATTGGGAATTGTATTACTCCAATGCAGCGTATAAGTAAATGCGCCCCCGAGTATTGCCATAAACTCGGCTGTTTGGTCATCAGTGAGTGTTTCAGGGGAATTAGGTTCGTCGTCCCTTACCATGATGGCGTTAGTTGTTCCGCGGTCAGGCGAATTCCAGTCTATGTCAACATCCAGCTAATAACAGAGAATGCATAATGTTGTAATGTATCAATTATTCTCTGCAACAAAAAATGCATTTATTGTGGAACTCACCGCTTTTCAAAATACCATTAATATTGAATTGAAGAACAGCACGGGTTGGATATTTCGCAATGCATTCTAAAGGTTATACGCGATTGGTGTCCGTTATTATTTGACATTGAATTTTAAGCAGAGAACGCATAACTAAGAGTAATGTTTATTCGCTTCTTGTTACACTGTTACTCAATGTAATAGTTCGGAAATATCATACACCTTGATTCATTCTTTATCCTTGATTAAATCTTTATGCTAAGCTCTGAATATTTATCAAATGGGTTTTCGGGAGAGGTGAGCATGTTTTTAAAATATTTTGTCCGATTCGCAATTTCTAGAAAAGAACAATATAACAAGAAAGGAGTGAAACATAGTTTGTTTCTATGGTTATCTAGCAAACATGATGAATAGTCGATCAATAATCATATTAAGTACTTTCGATGGTGTAACTAAAATACCCGTGCTGAGATTTGAATTCGACAAACAAATAAGCGACATCAGCAAAATGCAATAACAAATATCAGACACAACCGTACAAGCGATGGCGACTGTCAGACACCGTCAGCAAGCAATGACAAATGTCAGACACAATGGCCACAACCGATGGCGAATATCAGATACACAAATGACTAAGAGTTTCAAAAAACACAAATGTATGCACCAACTACTTTAATTTACTTGTTTTGCAATTTATATATTAGTATGGAATATCTCTGAATGTTTAATGGTCATTTTTATATTTTTAGCATAAATAGCTATCATTTTAAAAGTCTTTATATTAAATGTGTTTTACCTTTGTGTATTTGTACGGGCACATGGCCATTTTCCAGGTACTACGATACTGACACGAGGCTGTACTGTAAAAAAGCCCCGGTTTTACAATTTGTTGAATTGGTGTTAAGTTTGTAACAGAACCATCTTGATCTCTAAAAGTTGCACTTTTATCGCCGTCCAAATTGTTAAAGCCATGCACAGTTTCATCTCCATCATAAACACGATGTCCGCCTATTGGCTAAAACAATAAAAGGAAGAGCTCAACAATCGCTTCTCTCTTAAAAACAGCAAACGATGTTTGTGTTCATTATCTTTTTCACATTGACACATGACCAAAAATTTAGATTGAACATATGTATGAAGTAACATAAAACATTGTAAAATTTCATTGTAACTCACTCAGAAAAAAAACCAAAACAATCCATCCTACAAAAAAATAATAACTTTTACATGGGTTAAATACCACAACATACTATTATGTATAATAGTGAAAGAATATGACAATTAAGAATAATTCTGAAAGACAAACGTGTCGACTAAGATTTGTGCGAGGCTTTTGCCATTGACTGTGACAGTCAACCGTTGAAAAGACGGTTGACTGTCAGAGTCAATTTGATGAATTTGTAATCCTCTTATTTGCCAATTGAAAAAGAGTTAATCTAATATTTCTTGACTATTCCATCTATTTATTCCATCAAGAATCCAAGTTAATTTCTTGTTTGAATTGTTTTACATTTGTCATTTCCGGGTCTTTTATAGCTGACTATGACGGATAGGTTTTGCCCAATTTTGAAGGCCGTACGGTGACCTATAGTTGTTAATTTCTGTTTCTCATTACTAACCATACACCATCTTCATATTTTTTATATATAATATGTTTTATAATAAATTCTCGGACATCAAAATCAAATGAGTATAATGAAATGTAAGGTAAGTTTAATTCAAGGAGAACATTTCAAACGTTTAATTGATTATTTTGGTTTTTTTCTCTCACTTAAATACCAATGTGCTGATTTGTAGTATTTACTTTTTTTCATTTTGATCAAACGTACGGTCAAAACAAAGTTGCGAGATATAGGTATCAAGTGCGCTTTATTTAGTAAAACCTTATGAAATAATAATAAACAAGTGACAATAGAGATAATTTGAGTGCTGATAGAGACATTATCCGTTCTGAGATAATTTCAAAGTTTGATTAAAGGAAATTCCAACATTATTGTTATAATTGTAATTTGTCTGAAACTTACATCAACAAATCCATACTTTATATCCTTCACATGACTAACAGAGGAACTTGAAAACCGATTGTTTCTTAAGAATGATAATGCTCCGCTTGTGTAGTTCTCCGTAGGAGTAAACTTATCAAACCAGATGCTCTCAGCAAACACTGGTCCATCATAGAAAATAAACCCTTGTATTGGATACTTACTGAAACAGAAATAATCATATTCATTTACTTAATTCTGTATTTTTTTGTGTTTTTGTCTTCAATATGTCTGATATATAAATACCTAAGTAGCCCAGGTTACATAACAAGGTACCCTGTATTCTAACAGCTCACTTGATCAGGAAAAATATCAAATGAGTATAAACTCCCAGAGTTTTACATACATGTATTTAAAAAAAAAACAGTAAGTACAATTGTTTTTACCTAGTAAGCACCATCGTGATACATAATCATTACTTTAATACTTAAATCGATTTTGATACCATAAAAAGCAAATATAGGTTTTTCGAAACAGTTATGTGTCATTCATTTGTAACCAAATTCCGTCCTCTAGTTTTCACCGAATGAGGCTTTTAACTGGATTGCATGTCACTTGTGGTGAGGAACTGCGTAGCCTTCCGGAACACCGTACATGTCGAAGTATAAAAGTTTAGTAGGTTTGAATTTTTATGTGTCGTTTGTCTTGTCTCTTTCTCTTTAGTTTTGAATAATAGGTCCTAGGTGCTCTTCAAATTCGTTCTTTTTTTTTTATCTTATTATCTGCTTTAATTCACTAGTGAGTCTTTTATAGACGAAACGTGCGTCTGGTGTACACAATTTTAAGCCTTATATACGATGACCTTTTGACATTGTGATGTCGGTCTTTGTCCGACGTTTGGGTTTTGATCTAATCGTTTTACCTTTTGCAAAAAACTAATATTCGTGTGGCAGTTGACTCTAAGTAACAACACAAAAACTGATTTTTACATTCATTTAGGTCAATTCATCCTTATATTGAAAAAAAAGTTGCAATAACTTTGTGATGTTGCGATTTAAATCTGACGTGATCCATGCTATATATTTTTTAATCGACCAATTATGATCATTATAGTCCATGCTAATTATTTAAGTCTTATAACGAGTAGCTTTAATACGCGATTTCTTGTTAGATTGATATGTCAAACAAAAAGATGAGTCACTGTCTAGACTATATTTACTCATTCCAGGGCATAACCAGAGATCTAGGATATCCCAACAATCTGTTCAGTGTACTACTCCAGACTTCTGTTGGTTCACCAATATTATCTGTTTCTCCCACGAACACACTTTTCTCAATAAACTGCTCCTGATCGGATGATCTACAAAATATTTATTTAAATGTATGCAACCAATTCATTTTCAATTCCCATTTCAAATATATTTTCCGTAACAAGTTGTCCTACAGCATGAACAGAGGCCTCTTAAATTACCTTTGATTATCTATTGGTTTGCATATGTAATGACTCTATATGCGGTTTTTCTGACAAGGATCGATGCATTTCATAAGATATAATAAATTACTTAAATAGTCAGAACTTGATTTTAGTATGAGTCATAGAAATGTTCATAACAAAGTTTATGGACTTCCCTATTCTTATTTCCTTAGTGGTGTGTTGGTCATTCCTTCTTTAGAGGTGTGCAATGTTTTTAATTCGGTTCACGCGTGTTTGCATTGATATCGAGTTTGTCGACGACGCTGTAATAAGAAATTTCAGATAAACGAAAATATCTTCTGAAAATGAAGGGCAGTTCCGGTAGGCAAATCGTGGATTTTATAAACTTAAAATATGTGATAGTGTTCAATTAAAATGAAACGAATTCAAACATAATTCTGTTTACTCTTCACCATTATTTCTATGTAAAATGCATTACAATAATTTCATGTTTTCATCTTACAAAAACCATTTGAAAGAGGTGAACAAAAAGAAAGTTAGAAGATATTAACAAAAAAATTACCTTGCAAATGTAAGACCTTTTCCACTGTCTGCCGATCTACAAAATACATGGATTAACATTAAAGGTCCCAATTTTATTTCACCAGATGCGCATTTTGGCAATTCAAGTCTAGTGATTGATGCTCGGTGGCATACATTTTGACAATCCAAAATGTAATACAAACGTTGAAAAACTGATAAAACCAAAAAGGACCTAAAGTATAGCCAAATACGGACGAGGAATCAGAGCTTTCCACGAGGTAGGTATATTCCTTAATTTGAATCGATTTCCACAATTTGGTAATTTTATGATAGCAAATATCAATGTCCGTTTATTCGTGCCAGCACCGATGTACTAGCTACTGAGGTGGTGATTCCTTTGGGGACTGCCAATAGCAATGTGTTAAGTGTACACAAATATTAGCAAGAAGAAACATAATTTCATGTGGTCACATAATTTCATATGTGAATTGGTCCATTTGGCTAACATGTTCAACTATCTCATGTGAGGAACCTCTTCTTAAGCTGTTGTATGTTACACTAGTATCCTACAGTAATGATGGGAATGTGGTGTTGATGCCAGATCTTTTCAAGACTTGGAGTGATTAACAGCATAACATATTGTACAGGCACCTGTCTATTGGTATAGGCAATTTGTTGACCTCTAGATATCTTTAAATCATTTGTGTGGTTTGGGTTGCTGTCTTAATGACGTATAACAATATATATCTTTATCTTTATCATGTAATAGGTCTATATCACAACAAGGCTGTTGTTGAATTTCTATATTTATTCTTTGAATTACTTACGAATACCATCGGACAATGATCAAACCTCCTCTTATCCATGTGTTTTCTCGGTTTTTCCAACCTTAAATTAGAATAACCATTACTGATTTAAATGTTTAAACAAGGAATATGCAGGTCATTATAGAACACAAAAGAGTAAATTATCTGTATTTTCATCAATTTAAAGCTCTACATGTTGATTATTTTATTTGTATCACTAGTACACGAATTCCAGCATTGTTTGAAATGACTGAACAATAAATAGTTGAGCCATGTTTCGTCCTTCAGCCAATTGTAAGACGTATCAATAGCGGTAGTTGCATTGCTGTTCAGACAATTCATTTTAGTAGGGTGCCCAGTGTTAAAAAAGTCCTCTAGTTAACGAGTTTAAGTTCACGGATAACACACGACTATTTTTGTTTGCAAATTATAGGAAAATCATTATATTTTACAATCATGATTGCCGTCGTAAGTTCCCATGGTCACGATTTTCTAAATTTCGTGTTTTTACAGGGTACCCCCAGATACCGTATTGTACGGGAAATCTTAAACATGAAAAGTAAAATTATTGCGCTCTTTGTTGGTTGTTAAAACAGTACTTATGATATAGTTTATACATTAAATATATCATATATGAAAGCGGAAAGTATTTAAGTGATTTTAGTATAATTATTTCAGCATTTAAGACAGACTAAAATTTTACCCTTAATTTACCACATTTTCATCGAAGGCAAAATTATTACGTGTATCATCACAATAATTTTTACTCTGATTAAAGCACGTGCATGTTAAATGTCATGTTTGAAATAAAAGTAGTTTTGAAGAAATTAGCAATGAAAAACACAAATTAAGTCAACATTTTGGAATGGTCACGATTTTCTAAATTTCGTGTTTTTACAGGGTACCCCCAGATACCGTATTGTACGGGAAATCTTTAACATGAAAAGTAAAATTATTGCACTCTTTGTTGGTTGTTAAAACAGTACTTATGATATAGTTTATGCATTAAATATATCATATATAAAAGCGGAAAGTATTTAAGTGATTTTAGTATAATTATTTCAGCATTTTAGTCAGACTAAAATTTTACCCTTAATTTACCACATTTTCATCGAAGGCAAAATTATTACGTGTATCATCACTATAATTTTTACTCTGATTAAAGCACGTGCGTGTCAAATGTCATGTTTGAAATAAAAGTAGTTTTGAAGAAATTAGCAATGAAAAACACAAATTAAGTCAACATTTTGGCATAGATTAATCACGGATTATCTCGTGACATCAATCATTTTGTTTCTTACACTATTAGGTCATTAACAAGGACAGTGGTCACTCATTACATTTCTCATTTTTGCTTGTTGTGTGGTTGGTTTATTTGTTTTGAATAGCTAGCTAACTTTGTAAATTATTATTTTCTTCGGAGGAATATGTTTTTGTCTGTATTTTAATACTTTCAACTATTTATTGAAAAGATATTTTTGTTATAATTGTAGTATAAGAATCAAATCGGTCGGTTTAATAACACATCCGGAATATGGCACATCAAGTCTATGTTATGGTCTTGCATGATGTTTTTGGACCTAAACCCCCATTGGTGTGAAAGACAACAAACATGTATCACCGTTCCTGCTATAAATTATACACCTGCAGAAACAACTGCAATAATTTCAAAGCTGAATTGGCAATAGGTTTGTTCAAGCAAACCACTGAAGCCCATGACCTATATGTGCCAAGCCGGCAGCAGGAAACTTTTTTTCGGATTGACCATTTTTGCATCTGTTACTACGCATTCTTATTTTTTCCTCGGCTTTGTTGCGCGAAAATTTATTTTCACTTCTGTACACATTTATATCCTTAAATAGCCTGCATTTCATGTTGCAGAGTATTCATTTTCATCCGGTCTTGTGCAAAAGTCACTGATTTTAAAGTTCATACCAGGTCAACTTATTGATTTTCAAAATCCTCCTCCCCTCCCTCCTTTCGAAATCAAATGGTCGGTCCCTTATTGAAAGCTAATGAAAGGACGTTATCAATTTATAGTCTGAGGCCTATAGAACCGGGTCTTTTATAGCCGACCATACGGTATGGGTTTTTCTCATTATTGAAGGCTGTACGGTTGCCTATAACTGCTTACTTCCACATCTCCTTATTTTTATATTATACAAGTATTACATAAAATTAACATTATCAATGTTCCATGCAAATAAGGTAAAGACAGATGAACTCGGTCACAAAGACATGTACACTTTGCTACCATTCTATACACCAAACATATTATACCCACTACTTCATGTACTTACAGTATCTGAGATAAGGACTTGCCCACTAAAACTTAACCTTGTTCACTGATCCATGAAATGAGGTCGAGGCCAGGTGAACCATGTTTGACCGACATGTTGACCTTGCAAGGATACCATACATTAGTAACCAAATATTGTTATCCTAGAACTCATGATAAAAGAGATGCGAAGGATACCAAATGGACATTAAAACTCACAAGTGAGACATTCACATGACGGAAAAAATCCCAGTTTTGTTAGCAATCACTAAACCATGAAAATGAGGTCAAGGAAAATAATTATATGACAAACGGAAACTTTGTTACTCAATGGATATATATACAAAGTATGGTTCATCCCATTCCTGTACCCTCTGAAATATAAAGATATACAAATAGTTTACGATGTTGCATCCTCCACCATCAGATTGTATTCTGTATGCCTCGCATTCTGCAACTTGCTTCGAATGCGATTTAAAGGAACAACTGAAATTAGATCATTAATTTAAACCTGGTCGGTGGGCTTTCAACTTAACAATCGACAACCAAACGTAATAGCTACTGCTAGCTTAGGCAATTTTTCTATGTTGTTTCAATCTGATTAAAATTCTGAACTATATTAACTCGCGTGCTCGAATACATAAACTCATATGAGGATAACGAAAACAGAGGTCTATATCTTAATTAGATTGATGTTGTTACAACCCTCTTTTTGTAGATAATCTTTAACTTCATGTAAATTGTAGCCCAATTTATGCTCAATAAGGCATATAAGTTTGTAAGATATATTTATTAACCTGTTTGTAATTGTCACTTTGTTTTCATAACTTTGACGGACAACCCTCCCCCTTTTTCACCGTTTGCAGTCTTTCTTATTTTTATAAAGCATAGATATACTCAGACCTGCTTATTCAATTCATTATACGTTAATATTACACCAGTTTTGGAACTAAGTACAATTGTATGTGCTTCCACACTTGCCAAAAGAAAACTGGATATTTTCCCAGAAAATCATTACGAACACCTTCTATCAAAAGACGGAAAAATAACATTTTGGAAGGACAACTTATACATGTTAATATCTAAAAAACATCTCAAGAGATCACTTATACATGTATTGAATCTTATGAAAAGATTCCGAATTTGGAAATTTTAATAGGTCAATGTCACTGTTGTTTAACAGCTGAATAAAAATTGTAAATGTGCACCATATAAGTACAAATGTCACTCTCGAACCATATATGGCAATATAAATATCAAATTAGTCCTAAATATAGAAACTATAGTTATGATCCCTTGAATTATTTGAATTTATTTTGCTATAAACGCATATATGTAGGGGCGACCAGCTGTCTAAACGTAACTCTGCGTTTTCCTTGAAATTTTAGCTTTGACCTTTGATCCAAATTTAAGAAAATCGTGACCACTGTAGACAACGACGACGTCAATATTTCGATGAGTCTTGTTCTCCTCTTTCCAATAATATCAAATACAGCCGTGTGTTATTCCGTTAACCCAAATCGATAAAATTCGTTGACTGGGCACCCTACTATTTGCAGACAATACAATACTCTTCATTAGCTTTTCTGACAATTAGTATGTCCTTGATGTGTAGAGGTAACAAAACAACCTTCTTAACATAGACTACAGACATCTTACTGACTGCAACCAAATTGTCTCAATAGTACTGACTTTACCGCAGTCGTGGCGTCTGATACTTGACCGAAAGACTGAAAATGACTTAATAATTTAGTGTTCAGTCTTTTAAGAGCTGTTCAGATCAAAATGACCGTTTTAGATCAAAATCGTTTACTAGTGTATGTGTTTTTGAATTTTTAAGTCAGTTGTGTTTGTATATATGTGATATATGATTTAAAAGTCATTGGATAGTAACTGACTTGTTAATAGCCACATATCAATCATATTGCATATTATTTTTAAAATAAATCCACGCCAATATTTTGCTGACATGGTTCATGTAAAAGATAGGCAAAAGATACTAAATGCATATTCAAACTAATAAGTCGGAAACAAACTTACAATGCAATAGCAAAAAAAATAAAAAGAAGCAAAAGACAAACAACAGTACACAAAACACGACATAGGAAACTAAAGTATTAATGTTAAGCTATACCAATTGCTAAGGCATCGAAACTGACAAAAAAAATAAGTTTTTCATATATATATTTGCTGTTACAAAATTTGAGAAACTATTTTGTATTATTGAATATATCTCCCTCATGCAAAGCTCTGACTTCTTGCCCGGCTTTCGCTATTTATCCTTTTTGGTTTTATCAGCTCTTTAATTTTTAAATACATTTTGGCATTTTCAAATATTTTGGCCTCGAGAATCACTGAAAAGATATTAAATGTCGAAGTGTGATTCTGGTGCAGTAGAATTAGTACCGTTTATGCTATCAACTGATATATATTTCATATTTTACATACAGGTTTGATAGTCGATATGCACTGGATCATCCTCGGCTAAAGGGTTTTTTGGATCCAGTGGCATGGTCCTGGGATAATATCCATTCGTTCCGTCTACTTTCAGTTCATTATCAATTTTCTTGATTCGGTTATCGATAAATAAACCCTAAAATAAAGCATACATACAAGGCGTTTAGGAGTAATACCACCAATCATAGTACGTCACATCCGGTTGCATACGAAAATGGGTCGAAAAAAAATATTCCCTTGAATTTGACAGTTGAAGGAAATTAATACTACATTTCATTGCAGTAAAAAATTTCTGAGTCATAAACATATATCTTGGGTGTTTCAAAACACCCTTATTTTTTTATTTGGTGTTTCTATAGAATATTTTGGAAACTTGAGTTTACATGGTTACCAAAGCTTGTGCACAGGAAGAAAAGGGGTGAAAATTTGATTGGTTAACTTCCAGTGATGGTTATTTTCTTATATGCAATGAAATGTTATGTAAAATTTTGTCTATAGTACTGGACAGGATAAAACTTTACTCATGCCAAGTATTTCTTTATTTGAAACAAAGATAAATTCTGCACAATTTTTTGAAAAGTGCAAATTTAACAAAGACTAATAGGGGAAAATCAATGGTGGTATTACACCCATAGTAGTATACTATTGAATGTCAATGTCTTGATAAATATAACATCAATTCGCTCAGTCTCATATTTTATGACATTCTATTTCAAAAGTATTTTTACATTTTTTTTATATCGTCTGTAAAAATCAGACCTGCCCTAATATAACAAATGTATTTCTGACCAGGAGCTAACCTATTTTGAGATCTGGACAAAAACAGACTAGTTCACAGGTCTTATCTGGTATAGAGCACACCTGTCCAGAGGACTGGTCAAACGCAGACTTCAAAAAATGTCCACAGGGAAATTTAGAGCAGACTTGTCAATATGTCTGGTCTAGAGCAGACTTGTCAATATTTCTGCAGCAGTTTTAAAAAAGCACCACCGATGAGGTTAACGTGCATGTCTGCATAAAATTTCTTAAGTAAACTTGGAAAGCAGTCAAAAAGTCTGCTCTAAGTTAAACTTTGTTCAGGTTAGGACTGCAACCATCTGTAAAAAAATTTACCAATCCACTTTTCACTTGAAACAACTTATAAAGGTGTTTTATTTGAGTAACATGAAGGGTTTCAAAGGTGGAGCAGGATCTGGTAACCTTTCTTCAGCTCCTGCGATTACTCCAAGGTTTTGTTGGAGTTGATGTTACTTAGTGTTTAGTTTTTATGTTGTGTGAACTGGTTTGTCTTTTCGTCGTCTATGTTTTATGGCATGACATTTGCTAAGTGTCTCTCGACTTTTGAGTTTTGAATGTCTATTGATATCTCCTGCTTCTTTTTAAATGGTACACAATATGAAGTTATACAAGACAATACATTTGTTAGGTATTCCTGGAAATTAGTTATTTGTTCAATCTTGATGATCTTGAAATCAACAATCAAGGTTTAAATGTAGTTGTAAACGCCGTGTAAGCTAAGCCGTATAATTAAACTGGGCGTTGTTGTCAAGTTAAAAGTCAAGATATCCGTATGGATTCTTCTCTCAGATAATGTAAATGTCGAGAAAACAGAATCAATGCATTTGCGTTGTACTATAACGAATACTAGAACCATAAAGACCATAATTTGTTTAGAACATTTTACTGATTTACTTAAATTATTGAACTAAATAAAAGATGCATGAAATTTAGTTTCCATTTTAGCTATTATACAAACATAAGATTTGACACTTGAATGACAGAATACAATACCTACATGTTCATTAGAATGTGCAGCATTATTACTTATTTCGGTAATCTTTGTGTGTCTAGCTTCGTCAAACGCCATAAATCCAAGACTTTCAGAAGGGCCTGTTGGTAAGTCCGGAAAAATTATCCAAAATCCCATTCCCTGTAAAATAAAAATATAAGAGGGATCTTTGCGATATGTCATTATTATACGGATCTTAAATCTAAAGCTAATGCATTTCTAAATTCAAATTATTAAGTTAAACGTGCTCCACAGAAAATCGCCAATGGTAACCATATGCAAAAAAAAAATTCATGTAGGATGGAGATCATTTCTCACTTTACTTGGTAGGTAGATCATGTCTCTTCATTAAATTGTTCAAAAATGTGTTAGTTCTATCTGTTCACATTGTTCTTTTCGTTCTTAATTGTCTGCTTTTTGTTTTGTGTATGATATCAAAACTCTTGAAATCATAACAATACAGTTTCCGAAGTTACCTGTAAAGACTCGAAATTTATCGAAGTCAGAGTGTACGTTGAACGATACTTTGGCCTTAAAGAAACATGGTAAACACGTATTTTATTGTTACGTATTATTCAATTATTGTGAATATGGTCTTACCTCAGACCCAGCTGCAACATTGTTACGAGTGATTGTTTTGGGATTTGTTATCCAATAAGAGGCTGGGTTTCTATAAAAATAACATTTAAAACATTTAGAATGATAATACGGTAAAGATTGTTACCAGGTTATATGTATCCTTTTAAACCGGAAACGTTAAAGTGTAAAGGCAATCAATTTGCTGTTTTGCAAATATTATTTCATAGCAGGGATTTTGGTTGTAATGTTTTCTCCACTAAATGTACTTCATGAAGGTTATTTATAAATTTAACAAGTGTATACGTAATGTGTAGGTGGGGGGGGGGGGGATAATTTAAAACACTTTGGTGTTGCTCCGTAAAAAAGCTGGAATGTCATATTTTCTGTAATTATTTGATATATGTTTTATTGATAAAATTTTTACTTGACAATTTGTTAAATTTTGCCTTTGAGTTTAGCTTTATTGTTGGTTAACAACGTTTGTATTGACGTTGCGCACGGTGTTGGTACCAATTCCATTTTGCTATAGATTAGCAAAAATAAATACGTAGACTAGTCAGTTCGATAAAAATATAGTGATTTCTGATTGAATTCATTCCATTAGACTTGAAATTAAAGAAAAAAAGGAACCGAAATTTAAAATACCAGGGATTATAACACTTAATTATCCCATTTTTACGCAAAAACGTAATGTCCAACGTTTCATTTTGTGTGCAAAAGATCAGAGTTCCGTTTCTCTCCCATGGTATTTTTTCTCTGATCATCGTAAAACTTCACAATAATATTGCTATTGTTATAATTATTCGCGTGTTAAAGCAAAATCGATATCACTGAAACCGTAATCCGGAAAATGTTATTTTTGTAAACGGTCTGAAAAATGTCCAACCGTATGCAAAGTAAGTATATTTCGGGTTTGCGCATTTATACCGTGAATTTGAAAAAGCTGAGAGAAAAAATATTTATTATATTTTGAAAGTTTTTTTACTTTTCTCCTGGTTCATGATATTTTTTTGCCGGAAACCATGCGTATAGTTTCTATTGCAATGACTTCAAAAAGTATAGCCATCTTGTCCCAACGAAAAAAACGCTGTATTTTCTTTAAAATTGAGGTTTTAACCAGCTGTCTATCAAATAAGCATAGTTAGATCATAAAAAATAAAACTTGGCGGTAAAGATTTTTCTGTTTTTCTTCTTAAACAATATAGTGTTTAATATTTTTTCGTTAGGCAACAAGGTTTTTAGATCGTTTCAAAAAGTATAGCCGTTTTGTCCCAACGTTCACAAAACGTAATTGATGTCATGCTCTGGTTTTTAATTTTATATCGTAATTATTTGTTTTCAGTTTAATTCGAATGAAAATAAAAATACATGTATAAATTACAATACAACTAATGTATGAGAAAGGAATAGTTTAAGTTTAAATTCAAATGTTGACCAAATGAGATCGATATAAAAAAATATCGGGATCTTAGGGTTTTTTTTATAGCATATTTGTTTTATATAAGGAACATTGTCAATCTGCAAGTTTTAAATAGTCAAAAGTAACATGTATATTTTTTGTTAATAAAATAAAATAGAGAAAACCCATTGCTGGCAATTATAACAAACAAAGGATATGCCACAAAAATACGGAAATGAGAAAATTTAAAACATGAGTCCCGAATGTTTAACTTCCTAAATATTTTGCGACAAAGAAAGCATCGGGAAATGATAAAATATAGAAAGGAAACGGAAACGGGAAGAAATGCAACAAAAGGAATAAATATGCAAAAAATAGGAGAATATGAATTCAAAATCTAATTTATATTAAAAATAAATCTGTGTAAATTTGGACATTATTGTATCGGATTCATTAATGCGAACTGCTGCCGAAAGGAAAATTATCAATTATGGCCTGGAAAGACTGACAACTCCTGTAAATGCATTTCATTAAAAAAATATCTATACGACGACTTTGAGTTTTATTTGTAAATTTATGCATTTTTTCAGACAAACCGAAATCGGTTACCAAATTCACAACAGTAAATTGACATCATCAATAATATGCTTGAACGCCTGAAACTTTCTTTGAAATCGTCGAAATCGCCTTATTTTGAGGAACGTCGTGAAACGCTGACGTTGCGCACGATGTTGGTACTACTTAGCGTTTCACGACGTTCCTCAAAATAAGGCGATTTCGACGATTTCAAAGAAAGTTTCAGGCGTTCAAGCATATTATTGATGATGTCAATTTACTGTTGTGAATTTGGTAACCGATTTCGGTTTGTCTGAAAAATGCATAAATTTACAAATAAAACTCAAAGTGGTCGTATAGATATTTTTTTAATGAAATTCATTTACAGGAGTTGTCAGTCTTTCCAGGCCATAATTGATAATTTTCCTTTCGGCAGCAGTTCGCATTAATGAATCCGATACAATAATGTCCAAATTTACACAGATTTATTTTTTATATAAATTAGATTTTGAATTCATATTCTCCTATTTTTTGCATATTTATTCCTTTTGTTGCATTTCTTCCCGTTTCCGTTTCCGTTTCCTTTCTATATTTTATCATTTCCCGATGCTTTCTTTGTCGCAAAATATTTAGGAAGTTAAACATTCGGGACTCATGTTTTAAATTTTCTCATTTCCGTATTTTTGTGGCATATCCTTTGTTTGTTATAATTGCCAGCAATGGGTTTTCTCTATTTTATTTTATTAACAAAAAAATATACATGTTACTTTTGACGATTTAAAACTTGCAGATAGACAATGTTCCTTATATAAAACAAATATGCTATGAAAAAAAACCCTAAGATCCCGATATTTTTTTTATATCGATCTCATTTGGTCAACATTTGAATTTAAACTTAAACTATTCCTTTCTCATACATTGGTTGTATTGTAATTTATGCATGTATTTTTATTTTCATTCGAATTAAACTGGAAACAAATAATTACGATATAAAATTAAAAACCAGAGCATGACATCAATTACGTTTTGCGAACGTTGGGACAAAACGGCTATACTTTTTGAAACGATCTAAAAACCTTGTTGCCTAACGAAAAAATATTAAACACTATATTGTTTAAGAAGAAAAACAGAAAAACCTTTACCGCCTTGTTTTATTTTTTATGATCTAACTATGCTTATTTGATAGACAGCTGGTTAAAACCTCAATTTTAAAGAAAATACAGCGTTTTTTTCGTTGGGACAAGATGGCTATACTTTTTGAAGTCATTGCAATAGAAACTATACGCATGGTTTCCGGCAAAAAAATATCATGAACCAGGAGAAAAGTAAAAAAACTTTCAAAATATAATAAATATTTTTTCTCTCAGCTTTTTCAATTTCACGGTATAAATGCGCAAACCCGAAATATACTTACTTTGCATACGGTTGGACATTTTTCAGACCGTTTACAAAAATAACTTTTTCCGGATTACGGTTTCAGTGATATTGATTTTGCTTTAACACGCGAATAATTATAACAATAGCAATATTAGTGTGAAGTTTTACGATGATCAGAGAAAAAATACCGTAGGAGAGAAACGGAACTCTGATCTTTTGCACACAAAATGAAACGTTGGACATTACGTTTTTGCGTAAAAATGGGATAATAAAGTGTTATAATTCCTGGTATTTTAAATTTCGGTTCCTTTTTTTCTTTAATTTCAAGTCTAATGGAATGAATTCAATCAGAAATCACTATATTTTTATCGAACTGACCAGTCTACGTATTTATTTTTATGCTAATCTATAGCAAAATGGAATTGGTACCAACATCGTGCGCAACGTCTAAGTAGTACCAACATCGTGCGCAACGTCTAAAGCGTTACACGTTCTCATAATGAAGCGATTTCGACGATTGCAAAGAACGTTTCAAGCGTTCAAGCTTATAATTGATGAGGTCAATTTACTGTTAATAGTGTTATGAATTTGGTAACCGATTTCGGTTTGTCTGAAAATGCATAGTTTAACAAATAAAACTCAAAGTGGTCGTACACATATATTTTTAATGAATATTTATTAATAGTTGTCAGTCTTTCCAGGCCAAAATTGATGATTTTACTTTTGGCAGCAATTCGCATTAATGAATCATACATTAATTTATAAATTAGATTTTGAATTTATTTTCCCTTTTTATTGCATGTTTATACATACTCCTTTTGTTGCATTTCTTTCCGTTTCTGTTTCCTTTCTATATTTTATCATTTCCCGATGCTTTCTTTGTCGCAAAATTTCTAGGTAGTTAAACATTTTGGATTCATGTTTTTCTCATTTCCGTATTTTTGTGGCATTATGCATATCCTTTGTTTTGTTATAATTGCCAGCTATGGTTTTTCTCTATTTTATTTTATTGACACAAAAAATTATGCATGTTACTTTTGATGATTTAAAACTTGCAGATAGACGTTCCTTGAATAAACAAATGTCATGAATGTGCTGAAAAAAACTAAAATCCCGATATTTTTTTTATATCAGTCTCATTTGGTCAACATTAGAATTTAAACTTAAACTTTTCCTTTATCATAAATTAGTTATATTATAACTTATATTTTTATTTTCATTCGAATTAAACTGGAAACAAATAATTATGATATAAATTTAAAAACCCGAGCATGACATCAATTACGTTTTGCGAACGTTGGGACAAAACGCTATAATTTTTGAAACGATCTAAAAATCTTGTTGCCTATCGAAAAAATGTTAAACACTATATTGTTTAAAAAGAAAAAGAAAAAAACTTTTACCGCCAAGTTTTATTTTCTATGATCTAACTGTGCCTATTTAATATGCAGCCGGTTAAAACCTCAATTGTAAAGAAAATACAGCGGTTTTTTTTGTTGGGACAAGATGGCTATACTTTTCGAAGTCATTGCAATAAAAACTATACGCATGGTTTCCGGCAAAAAAATATCATGAACCAGGAGAAAAGTAAAAAAACTTTCAAAATATCATAAATATTTTTCCTCTCAGCTTTTCCAATTTCACGGTATAAATGCGCAAACCCGATATATGCTTACCTTGCATATACTTGGACATTTTTCAGACCGTTTTCAAAAATAACATTTTCCGGTTTACGGTTTCAGTGATATTGATTTTACTTTAACACGCGAGTAACAATAACAATAGCAATACTCTTGTGAAGTTTTACGATGATCAGAAAAAAAAATACCGTAGGAAAAAAACGGAACTCCGATCTTTTGCACACAAAATGTAACGTTGGACATTACGTTTTTGCGTAAAAAAGGGATAATAAAGAGTAATAATTCTTGATATTTTAAATTTCGGGTCCTTTTTTTCTTTATTTTCAAGTCTAATGTAATAAATTCAACCAGAAATCACAATATTTTTTATCGAACTGACCAGTCTACGTATTTATTTTCATGCTAATCTATAGCAAAATGGAATTCGTACCAACATCGTGCGCAACGTCATTGTGTTTTGGATTTTCAAGTAGTTTGGCAGCGAGCATCACTGAAGAGACGCGAATCGTCGAAATGCTCCTCTGGTTCACTAATTTGGCACTGTTATGTTATTATACATTTACAAACTATTCAACCTACCGTAAAAAGTAGAGATTTAGAGCGCCGGTCAACTCCATAAATTTTTCAACGGAATATTACTTTTCAATAGTAATCTAAAACGCACAATGACATTGTGATATTGGCAAGAAACATAATTACCCATCGGAATGTATCAGTTTACATTTCCGTGTTACAGCAACGAGATTCCCGTCTATAACTGTTCTTTTCTCGCCACCATCTTCTAAGAATATACCATGGCAAAGATGATCGTAACAGACATTATCTTGCACCTGTGTGTAATGAAAACAATATTTAAACCATACAATAACGACACGTTCTGTATGTACCTTTCCCAAGTCAGGAGCTCGTAATTCAGTGGTAGACTTTGGTTTCTTTTTGTCTCATTTGTTTTTCTTTATTGTTTTGTACACAGAATAAATCAGGCCGTTAGTTATTTTCGTTTGAATTGTGTTACATTTTTCATTTCGGGGACTTTTATAGCTTGAAATGCGGTGTGGGTTTTGCTCATTGATGAAGGGTGTACGGTGACCTATAGTTGACCACTTCTACGTCATTTGGTTCCTGGTGGAGAGGTGTTTCAATGCTATTCTGTCACATATTTTGTGTTTATATGTGTATTATTGATGTGGATAAAATTCAAATGTACACCTACAGTTTATATAGACTTTAGTAATAAAGATATACAACAATGGCAATCATTCCGTTTCTTCTCATTTCTGTTTTAAGCAATTAAACTTATTGTACGCTCCTTCAAGTTGAACATATATTAATAAAATCAACGATTCCACTTAAAAAGGATGGACGCAGGACCAATATTACATAAGTAAGACGGAAATATCTTAAATGTTTAATGTATAAAATAACATCATACAAGTTCGAAATGTACGTCTGTATAATCCTGGATCTTTCAAGTATTAAAGAAAATGTTTTGGTTGATAAACTTAGTTAGATATCCACAAAGATCAATATCGAATTTAGGACATTGTCAATACGCAGGGGTGGGAAACTCTTCACCTACATCATAACAGTGATTATTGAATGAAATGATAAGCAATGCATGTATATACCAATACTTGTATTATTAAATCATGTGATAAGCTTAGTTCCATTATACCATGTGATAATTGAATCACGTGACTAGATAAGTGCCAACTGCATCACGTGATAAGCTTAGTATCGTTACATCTGAAAACAGACAGCACGAGCCTTATTAGATAATCACATTGTCTGCTTCGGGACTCATACCCAGGACCTCTGTATTACAAGTCAGCGCTCTTACCGACTGAGTAGAGAAGTACTTTTGCGGCTGCCTAAGTATCTACTATGCTAGGGAAGCAATCCCGTCACATATCTTATGGTTAATAAATCACGTGATAAGTTACATACCGTTACACCATGTGATCCGTGCACTGTAATACATCTAGCAAAAGAATGATGAATTGAGTTTTTCTTGACATATGGTGGATTGGGATAGTCCTCATCATCAGTGTCATGACACATGTGAAAATGTAGAGGATAGTTTCCTGTAAAAAAGACCTGTATTTTAATCACCCGAAATGCATATGGCTTCTCAACCTTGATTATCATATTATGTTCATGCGCGTTCACATAATAGCGCTTTTGAAAAGGATATTTTCGACTTAATTTTATCATTACAAATATCGCTTAACTTTTAGAAGGATCAAAATGTTCTATATGCATCCTCCGTCAAATTTAAGCTTAAACTACTCGGTGTTCGGCCTCGTTTGCAATGAATCTATATCATCGCTATAAATCGTATATCCGCCCCCAAATCCACTGTTTTACAATAATGGAATTCTTACCTAGACTCGTAGCTTGTCCCATATTTTCTAACTCAACTCCTTCTACATGCACGTTCTTAAAATATCGCAAAACCTACAATATAAGGAGATAATTGAATATTGTTTTCTCTTGCAAAAGAAATTATCTAACATCATAAGGTTTATTGAAAGAGGTTGAAATTTGTGAAAAAGTCAGCCTTATCATCATTTTATAAAGGTTGAACACGATGTGTACACTGTGACGTAATGATGACATCATAATTCAATATTCTTTGATAAAATTAATTGTTGTGTGTCTTGCTTTATTCTATCAGGTGTAATATAAAGGTATCTCCATTGAAATAATTTACAACCATTAGTACGATTTGAAGGATGAACACTGAAAACCAAATGATTTTGGAGTATACTTTTTTTTATTTAGGGGTTATCGCCGCCGATAAAATGTTAATTCTTTATTCGTTATTTTTTTTAAAACTTTGTTGTAAGAGGGTTGATTGATTAGTTAGTTTATGGTTGCTTGCTTTTCACCCAATGACATATATGCCATGCATATACAGGACAAAAACCAATTAACAATTAAAACGCTTTTGCAATGTAGGGCGACTGGGATGAATAGCGGGAAATTTGGATTGACACTAGAAAATGATGGAGGTTTTTTTTAACGTGAAGAGAGTGTGCAATAGAAGTACAGGGGTGACAGTCTTTCTTTACCCGAAAATTCCTTTGGATCAAAATAAAAGGTGACGTTGGGTTAACGTCAAAGACAGCTACCCAACGATATAAATAAACAACAACAAACAATTTGTGGGGGGAAAAAAACCATAAGAGTCTGCCATTTTTGCGACAATTTATATCCTTAGATTAATCTGGCTATCATTTTTTGTACTTTTTGGTCATATACTGTAGCTCTTCAACTGTTTCTGTTCTTATGCATCCTTGATTTTTAAATATTCATCATCGCTAGCCAAAAGTTACGATCCAGTCCCCTTCTCTCCACCCTTGGCGGATTGAAATATAATTTCGGATCCACGTGGTATTGATTTCCGTTGGTCGCAGTTGTTACGGGCTGCATCCAATCAAAAAGAGCCTTTAAGACGATCCTTAGTTAAGGTATAAAATGTAAATAAACTATTGCCACGTGCTGATTGTGCAACAAGTCTTTACCCCCAAAACATACCACGATATATAGTGAAAGTTTTAAAGTTCTTAATCAACTAATTGAAGTTTCGGGGTATGTTTCTCGCGCAAATGTTGAAATTTCAATGTATATTTACGGTTCCTGTTTCACAAAATTCGTGACTACTAGACACAACCATTTTCACACTTCCATACTGAAGTATTGCCATTGTTCAAGAATGATGTAGTCGAAATGGCCGTTACTTTTATCTACCGATAGATGGCACAGCATTGAAATCACAAATGTTGGCTTAATATGCGAAAGGTAGAGATGAGGGACTGGATCGTAACCCTTGGCTAGCAAAAATGTCAAATATTCGGCTTAGTGCGTTAACGTTACTAATGAAGGTAAATCCAGAAAAGAGCGTCAGATGCATACAATTTATAAAGTATTGTTTTCTATTTGGTATACAGTATTGTTGATACACAATCCTATTTATTTAATAAAACAATTGGACCTGATATTCTATACCTTTAGATGTTTTCGCCTGAAATAGTTTATATATTGCGTGATGTAGTGTGATCAACATGTTACCAAGAAGTTGACAAAAACTGCAAAGAGAGCGATCATCTTGACCTTTTAGTGAAGCGCATTTTACGTGATGTTTTTCTTCTTTATATCGATCTGAGTTAAGCCTTTTCCAACTGATTTTTATAGTTTGTTCTTTGTTGTGCTGTTACACCACTGTCCCAGGTTAGGGGGAGTGTTGAGCGCTCACAAACATGTTTAACCCCGCCACATTCTTTATGTGCCTGTCCCAAGTCAGGAGCCTGTAGTTCAGTGGTTGTCGTTGGTTCATGTCTGTCGTATGTGTGTTTCGTTAATTGTTTTGTTATAAATTAGGCCGTTAGTTTTCTCAATAGAATTGTTTCATATTTTTCATGTCGGGGGCCTTTTATAGCTGACTATACAGTTTGGGTTTTTCTTATTGTTCAAGTCCTACGGTTGCCTATAATTGCTTACATCCACTTTATTTGAAATTTGGTGGATAGTTGTCTTGTTGGCAATCATACCTCATCTCCTTATTTTTATATTAGTTGTCACAACGTTACATGTAACGATGAAGTGTTACAGTGAATTTACAATAAAGAACGGCAATTGTGGTGCCGTTCGTTTGCTATCATTTTTGTGAAGTACGTGTAGGGATATTGATTATCTTTGTATGCTAGAGATGTTATTACAAAGTATTTTAATGTGGTAAGATGTTCGATCATTCTTATACTGTGAAAAAAATAAGAATCAAGTTATTTTGTTCTTTAATAAAATGCTAAATTCCATGTTTTTTTTAAACGTGTCATAATTTACCTTGACGTGACCGCCGAATGTATCATATGGGAAGTCAGCGCAGTTTCCATTAGCTGCGGGACACCTTAATTGTGTTTCACCTCTTATTTTTATGTTCCTAGTCAACAATGCAACCTCACCGCGCATGTCAACATTATTTTCAAGTTTTGACCAATGAACAAACTTTGGAACAACTACAATGTAATGATCAGATACATAATACAGGCAGTTAACATAACTCATACATCATTGTACATGTACATAACTTACGTATCAGATAATACATATTTAATAGGCGACTGAATATGTCTCATATTCCAGTTATCTCTCCTAGACAAAAGAAAATTAACAAAACTGAACCAGACAAAACAACTAAATTTAAAAGCAAAATTGTTCCATCTGACATAACAAATGCATTTTACGTAAGAGCATAGTTTTACTATTTTATCGAAATTGCAAAATTTGGGAAAATAAACCCCTCATAAAACTTTATCACATCACAGTATAAAAGCTCGGCGAAAGTTGTTGATTAAACACGAGAAATCCAGATTCTTACGTGAATGTACAAAACATTTTATCAAAGATACCAGGCTAATAATTTTGTACGCCAGATGCGCGTTTCGTCTACAAAAGACACCTTCAGTGATGCTCCAATCAAAAAGTTTAAGACTAATCGTAATGAAATTTTGCAATTTTTTAGATTTTTCACATTTTTTTCAAAGTTATTAATTAAACACAATTGTTTTTTCTTTAATCGCTACTTACAGTCAGCACGGATCTGTTTCTGATTACAAGTGTTACAACTATCAACGGAACCAACTTCTGCTTGCTCCATGTCGAAATCCGTTGATGTGAAAAGGATCTTGTCCTCTAAAAAGAAAAAAAGAACGCTAATTAGGTAAACAAAATGATGACAGAGAGCTATTTGTCTAGAGTATTTCAATAGTTTAAAATGCAAATGTCGAAAAAAGAATTGCAACATTTAAACGTGGGAACAACGGAAGACTTTAAAAGTCAATGTACCATGCCTTGCAATTTTTGAATTTTCCAAATGAGGGTTCGAGCAAACGTAATTCTCAATAGAAATGAGATATGCCAATACTAAAACAACCTCATATCTAATATCTGGCGCAAGTGAATTTAATGTACTGTTTTTATTTACATTTTGTTTGTCTACTAATTAAGGGATAAAAAAGGAGTAGATATAATAAAAAATAGTTTTACGATTCTACAAATCGTTATGCTTGTCTCAAGTTAAGAAGTCTTTTATCATAACTCATGGGTTGTTTTCTGTCTGTCCCAAGTTAAGAAGTCTTTTATCATAACTCATGGGTTGTTTTCTGTCTGTTTCAAGTTAAGAAGTCTTTTATCATAACTCATGGGTTGTTTTCTGTCGGTCCCAAGTTAAGAAGTCTTTTATCATAACTCATGGGTTGTTTTCTGTCTGTCTCAAGTTATGAAGTCTTTTATCATAACTCATGGGTTGTTTTCTGTCTGTGTCAAGTTAAGAAGTCTTTTATCATAACTCATGGGTTGTTTTCTGTCGGTCCCAAGTTAAGAAGTCTTTAATCATAACTCATGGGTTGTTTTCTGTCTGTCTCAAGTTAAGAAGTCTTTTATCATAACTCATGGGTTGTTTTCTGTCGATCCCAAGTTAAGAAGTCTTTTATCATAACTCATGGATTGTTTTCTGTCTGTCTCAAGTTAAGAAGTCTTTTATCATAACTCATGGGCTGTTTTCTGTCTGTTTCGAGAATCTGGTGTTGATGGCAGATCTTTGAGGGATTCCTGTGTTATTTATTGAGAATTGTTGTCTAGATTTTTTAAATTTTGTAAAGACAAATGTCCTTAATTGACAATTGAGTGTTGCAATCTATATGTCAGTTTTGTTATTCTGTGGCTCTGCGGTCTCAATGACGTATACCCAAAGTCTCATTTTATTTAAATTTCCGAATTTTCTACCTGGTTCCAATGTTTGTGCGTTATCAACTAGATCTATTATAGGATAAGCTCGGTCATGGTCGTAAACCAGAAAATCAACATATGTGGAACCCCATGAACCAGTCTTTACTTGACTGCTGACCACTATTTTCTGGTTTGCAGCGATTAAATCCATGGAAACGGTTGCGACACGAACATCATCGGCGGAATTGTTCAGATCTTCAACAACAGAACTGGTATCACCTTGAAATGAAGTGAAATGAAATATAACGTATAATTTTTGTTAACTTTATTTTCTTTAACATAATGTTGAAACACAACACAGAGTAAGTTCTTCCTCAAATCGTTAAGAAAGGTTAAGAAAGGTTACCTTAATATGTTATGACATTGGTCGCAATGAAATATCGTAATTTCGAATTTGAATCGAAACTATCACATGGTTAATCAAAACAATAATGTTGCTTCTTTGACGTCATATTACTATTAGTATACAATAACGCCAATGTTATACAATTGAACGATGTTACTTAAAGTGACTTTTTTTACCCAATAAAATAATTTCACTGAGTCAATAGGTAAAAGAAATATACAAATACTAGCTTTATGCCCCTACATAATCACGGATTTTTCTTACGAGTCCTTACGAATCGCACAAATTCAAGGATCTTAATTAACGATTTGGCCACTGTTACGACCGATTTAAGAGCTGTTACGAGTTATAACGAGGGATTTATGGTTTATTACGGATTTTTAGGAGTTACTACGAAGTATTAACGGCAAAATTCCAAGATTTTTTACGATTTGTCACGGATAACTACGAGCAATTTGCAGGCAATATACTAGCTTTTACTATTCATCGAAGAAGCTATGACGTATAAGTTACGACCTGTTTATGTGTTGTTACGAATTGTTAAGAGTTAGTTACAAGTATTTGCGAGTCTTGACTATTTCGCATCTGTTATACCTTTTCCCAATTCGTAAACAACACGGACCTATACGTAAAGTATATGTATCTATTCGTAGAGTACTCGTTACTTCACGTAAAGTGCTCGTAACAATCCGTAAAACAATCGTAAAATGACGTACACAAATCGTAAACTAACCGTAACAAGTTTGAGCTTTCTAAAATCTCTCTATCCTAATTTAAGGTAATATGTGTCCATGTGGTTGTTGATTTAGTATTGGGGATGTGGTATTTTTAGATATTGATTGATATAAAATGGATGTCTTAGACTTGGAATATCAATTTTTGTATATATATTAAGATGAACTTTTCTGAAATTTTAAACTGGCTGTTCAGTGATAGTTGTCAATGTGTTTTTGTGGAGTGTGGTTTTCTAGTTCTTTCAGCTGGTCATTTACTTGCGATTTTGATTGCTAGTTCTGTATATAATTTATTCAGATATAATTGGATGTTTAGGTATGTTGATTAAGAGTAACATGATTTCGAGTGATGAAGACAATAACCATCAAAACCAAGGCATTTGCAAATATCACGACTCTGGAGGTGTGCCTAGATTGGCAGAGGTTATAAAATACAGATAATGCATTTTTGTAAACATTGTTTAGCAAAACAAATCGTGCATATTGCAGATTAACAAAGCAAATAAACACGTATTAACAATTGATATTTCAATATTGAATTTCAGTGTGCAATATATGCATAATAAAACGAACATGTATTAATGACAGTTGATCGGAACTGAAATACACATAGTTAATTTTCCGGCATTTGATGTCTTATCCTGAGACGAGAAAAGTCTGTAATTCTTTATCTCATTCAAACCAATAGCTGTTGCTGTATCTCAGTCGCATCATAAAGCAACCAGTCAGGATCTATATGTGATAAGTAATTATTTCAAGATGGCGTGTATATCGACTGAAACCAATAGCTCCGCACCGTGATGCGAAGCAACAAATCGTTAAAAGAAATTTAACGAGTTATTTACGGATTCTTGCGAGCACTTTACGGATGATTACAACTTGTTGCGATCGGTTTTCGAGCGGTTAACGATACTTACGGATTGGTACCGGTTATTTACGGGAAAAGATTTTTGTCTTGTCAAAAAATTTGCCTTTCCTTTTACGGATATTCAAAAGTGTCTGCGAGTTGTGGCGAGTTATTTACGGATACCAGCGAGCTATTTACGGATGCTTGTGATTAACTACGAGTTGGCGATCCGTAAGGACTCGCAAGAAAAATCCGTGTATGTGAAGGGGGCATTAGAAAGAGAAAGTTTTTTTTAGAATAAATATTATAAACAGCTTATGTACAAAAAAATATGCCTTTTCAATAAATTTTCATCTCATTGTCATGAAATACTTAAAAGTTGTTTTTCCTTTTCCTAAAATTCTAAAATTGGAAAAAGACTAGTTTAATGAAAACCGACTATTGTTCACCTTTAATAACCATGAATGTATACGCATCGTCACTGTCTACATCTCTTATTCTAGTAGCTCCCAACGACTCAAGTTTGGCATATACGCCTGATAGGTCAGCTGTGCCAACCAATGTCCTCAACAAGGCAATGCCAACAACACTTCCTGCAGATATACCTAAAATACAAAATAATAGATTTATCTAACTTCAAAAAATTGTGTTCAAAATTATTGGCAAAACGAGTATAGGCAATTACACAAAAAGTATGATATTGATATATTGAAAATTTTCGAAAGAGGGTTACCTTGCTTTCGCTAATTCTCCCAATACGAAAAATAAGACGAAGAGAAACTGACAATTAATGCCATGGCAAAAGCCGGAAAACAAAACAAACAGCAACACACAACAATACATAGAAAACTAACGACAGGACAATAAAAACCACACCAATAAAATAGGAATGATCCTGGAAAATATTTTTTTATTTGAAGGAGATTAACATCATGGACAAACCAAAAAAATAATATAAAACCTAGCGACCATGTTTGTTTGTGCTAGAAATAGCGAAAGTTTAAATCCGCGAAAATTCCTCTGTAGTTAGTTTACGGTAATTTTTGTCTCCTTGACTTAATATAGGAACGTTCCACCCCCCCCCCCCCCCTTTCCACCCCCCGCCCAAAAAAAAAGTGGGATTAATTAGATATTACGTCGCACCTAACCCTTCATCCAAACGACCGTTATAAAGATGACTTACTGTCAATAAAGGGATCAAACTCTGTCATTCCCCTGTTCGTCCAGTACTCGTTCTGACCAGACAGATAGAACACTTCCTTCTTGATGACGTGTTTTGATGATGCATTAAACTCAGTCACGCGTAAACCACTAAACCAGTCTTTATCTGTTCCAGATGTTTTCTGAAATATAAAAAAAAGGAACTGTTTCGACCACCACATTTTAGCCTGTAACAATTTAAGCGTCAACCACCACCACATGTTTGCCTGTAACATGCCATGACATCCGGACCATGCGTTGTCCGTTGTTTCTTTTGCTTAACGTTTTTTTCGGAGCAGACTGGGTTTGGTAGTTTACGCAGTCTTTTTTTTCTGTCCTTTATATTTTGGCCATTCCTGTTACCCGTTCTATGTTTGATTGATATCTTCCGAGTCTATTTTTGATTTTTCATGATTTGTTTTTCGTAATAGTTTAACTTTCACTTGTATTGTTATAAAACATGCGCAAGAAAAAAATGGTGGATTGAGAGATTATTATATCCTATGCAGTATGTTTAATCCGATTTCATTGGTGAACGTTATGAAAACCAATATATTTATACATGTATACACACTATTCGTGCTATCACGATTAAAAATTCCGTAAAAAAGTTAATAGAATTGATCGGACTATTTCGTTCATTACGTAATAATAACATTACATGTATGTTTCATTATAATACGTTATTTTGATTGGCTAGCAGCAATCTCGCGTCATTCTGACATTATGAAATGTAACATTCATGATGACACGAGCTTCCACAAAAAAGTGCACAGGTAAATAAAAGAAAAACTTGATAGAAATCGTGTTTCCATGATCCTAGTAAAAAAATGTAATTATAAGTATTGAATGCTTCTTTTATTAATTTTATAGGACGTAAAAGCGTTGACCGTGCGCACATTTTTAGAATAAAGCGCGGAAACAAAATGTACTTTGGTCAACGCTTTTACGACCCAATAAATTTACAAAAAGAAGCATTCAATTTTTAAATAAACAGAAACAAATGTTATTTTACGTAGTTTTGACTGAATTTAGATTACGAGCAAGTCTGGACCGAGTTTACACACACATTTAAATAAAAATCCTTTTAATAACCTTTATTTTTATTATGAACTAAAATTGTACTTTTAAAATATATTTTCGACACTTACCTGATGTTGGAAAAAAATTCCGTCTCCGACTTTAAGAGGATTAAGTGTTTTATCAAGTTTTGTCCATGATAATTTGTCCTTTCCATGAAGCTCTAATGTACCACCTTGGGCGACACAAACAAATTTCTGACCACAGTGACCGAAATCCGGGACTTCATTTCTAATACCTTCCAAAGTATGAAAATAATTAGAAATAGAAATAATTCATTAATAAATTTGTTGTTATTAGGATATTTATTACTTTCAATAATTGTTTTGTTTTGTTTTGTTTTGTTTTGTTTTGTTTTGTTTTGTTTTGTTTTGTTTTGTTTTGTTTTGTTTTGTTTTGTTTTGTTTTGTTTTTGTTTTGTATTGTTTTGGTTTGATTTGTTTTTTTTTGAAAAATTGATTATTAGGTGAACTTATCTAAATTTCAAATATTTTCTTTCGTGCCGTGACGAGCGATTACTTTCTTTAATTGGAAATTCCATGCATAATAAAAATGTTAAGTAAGTTGAAAACACAGGAAAAATTCCCTTAAACCATTGACAAGGTAATGAGCATGTATGAAAAACATCCGCGTGCATTTTTCCTTTTTCAAATGTATCAAAACTATTGAAAAAATAAAAATTTAAATATATATATTAATGTATTTTTTCTCACTCTTGATACTAAACGGTATCCGCTTTTAGAAAATAAAATATAATATACATTTGTTGACACATTTGATGCACTATATATACATTTAAAATACACTATAATATATATATTTTTTGAAAGTAATGGGGGTTAACAGAATTTTAATTGCACAAACAAATAAAAGAATAGAGAAAAATTGACAGCAAGAGAAAGTGGCCTTAAAATTAAAGAATAGAGTAATAGAGTGATGAAGGGCTACCACCTCCACCCCCCTCCCCCCCCCCCCCCCCAAAAAAAAAAAACACACCACACAAATCAAGACCCTAGGTTATGATGAAAACGGTTCAAATTTTGGGAAAAGTATGACACCAGAAATGAAAAGCCCCCAAAAGACCTCCAGTTATTATACACCAGATACTATTTTTGGAAAGGTATTACACACTGCATGTTTGGACAAAATTGATAAACTACTTATAAAGTACTATACGACATGTTTAGAATCAATCTAATAGTTATACCGAATAGAAACTGAGAGAAAATCTGAAACAACCGAGCCGTAAAGGAGCGAATGGTTGAGACCAAGAATATAAAGAATAGAGAATAATGGACAAATCTATAAAGAATACAGAAAAATTGCTTAAAAAATTAAAGAATACCGAATTGAAGGACCCCCACCGAGACCCTCATACTAATTTTGAAGAATAATTTTGACGTTTAGGGTTGATGTCAATTCCCATTTTCAAAATTTCTCTCTGCAAATGTCTTATCTTAAGCTATTTTCATACCTTTGAGAATAATTTCAGTCTTTGCATTGAATTTACAATCTTCTGATCCGATCTCCATTTTCCCCTGTATCAGAATGGACCGTGTCCTGATGACAGTATTTTTCCCAGAATCCCACACCAGTCGTCCATTGGATTGTATAGTGATAGTGTTTACAGCAAGATCAACATCTAGTTTGACGTTCATTCCAGCTTTGATTGTAACATCCGAATTTGTTGTAGGGACCTTTGTACACAGATAAAATTAATGATAATCAAAATTATTACCTTAATTAAGTGTGTCCATTATACGGATGAAGAAAGCAGATGAGCTGCGAAGTCAGTACTTTGGCACAGATATGATTTATAACAAACCTTTCTTAATTTCCGTTTATAAATTTATGAATTAAGAAACTACACATGTAAGGTTCCATCTGCCTAAAGTAAAGTTGACTTTAGATGGATTTTGCTATTTTTTTGAGGTCCTTTTTTGGTTATATTGCTCTTCAACTGTTTCAGTTGTATACATCCTTGACTTTCAAATGTTCAGCTCTGAACGTTCCCGATGAAGGTGAATTCAGAAAAGCGCTTCGGACGCATACTATTTATAACGTGTTGTTTTCATATTTTACAGCACTGAATTAATAGCGCTGCTGGTGGACTAGCAGTGCCCGAGAGTATCATCAGTTCAGTAGTCATTACTTTGGTATAGACATGATTTATAAAAAAAAACCTTTCTTAAATTGTTTTTATATTTCTTTCGATCAAAGGAGGGAAGTGAGTATATTCCATCTATACCCGCCACTTTGTTCTAATATCAAATTACCCTTAAAACAGATTGAGACGATATTATTTGTTACGTCCTTAAAAGATTTACAGGTGCTCCAGAAATAGTTCCAGCCAAGGAAATTACGGACAAACAAATTTGATAACGTTGATGGTGACGAAAAGTGCAGCCACAGTTGGTACTTTGTAATCTAGTAAATTGAATACGATTTTGATGACATTTTTAAACACAGTTTATGTTTTGATACAGTAGATTTAAAAGCAGTAATTATGATAGTTTATATCCGTTTGAACTTAAAAATTTATTTGTAAAAATAAATGCAATTGAAGTTCATTTGGTGTAACGTCATTAATTGTTTTAAAATAAATTCAGTATAAGTTCACGCAGTGTAACGTTATTAAAAGATGTCTCAATTGAGAGTTTAACATCCGTTCTACACCTAACGAGTGTTTATGGGATCAGTATATACTTTAAATACTTTCTTCTAATTAAAACATCTTAAATCGATCTCATCTATTCTATTAAAATCTGAACGACGGAACTAAAAATCATTCAAACCCCGGCTGAGTCAAACCACACCGTTGAACAAGTGATCGGTATGCTGGAGTTTTTTTTTATTGACAACATATTTGTTGAATTTGGAAGAGGACTATTCCAACATATTGTCGGCATTCCTATGGGAACGAACTGTGTGCTTCTCTTGTTGACTTCTTCTTATTTTCATATAAGTGAGAGTTCCTTCAGACACTTGTCAAAAACAAGATGATCAAAGAAGCCAGGTCATTTAATTTCACATTCAGATTCATTATATTTAATGTCAAAATGCCAGATTTTAATGGTTAATAGGAGGGAGACAATTTACTCTATCCCATGGCAAATACTCTATTACCCTTCATGGAGACGCTTGCTCAAGTGTGCGCTTTAATAAATACGGATGATTGTTATGTACAAGACGTCATAGTTTATTACTTTGAATTTTGAAATTTAATAGACGGTAATAACAGAACATTCAGTATAATAAATTAAATAACACATATCTGAGAGGGTGATACAGCAGATTGTTACCCCTCGAAAAGACATTGTCAACCTTGGCTTCGCCTCAGTTGTCAATGTTTTCTCGTGGTAACAATCTGCTGTATCCCCCTCTCAGCTATGTTTTATTTATATAATATTGATGATGTTCTTTCCATTAACAATTCAGACTTTTTTGATTGGATTACATTTAAATATCCTCCAAAACTAGAAATTTAAGAAACAACAGACACAGCTTTCTCCGCCTAATTTTTAGACTAGACCTCGAATTTGACATAAGCGGTCATCTCATGAATCTATGACAAACGAGATGATTTTTATTTTGAAATTATAAATCCCCTCCACTTTAGCAGCAATATACCAACTTCATTGGCATATGGGCTATACATTTCCCAACTCATTCGGTATTCAAGGGATTGCAGCTGCTACCCAGACTTTATAAAACGTTGCCAGTGTCTGAGCAGAAATTTGCAAATGATTTTTAATATTTCTAATTTTTCAAAAGAGTTCATTAAAAAGTTAAATTTTATTTTTTGATTCAATTCTATTTGCAATAATTCAACTCAATTCAAAAGTGTCATAAAAGACGATTGATTGACAAGTCGAAAATATGACCATGAATCAAGATGTACTTTCTACCTCAGTTCAAACGACTGTCTTATGAAGGACGCTGTTGTTCCAAAACAAATTCACCGACATAGAAATATTGTCTGAAACGTGACAATTTTCAGACTGAAAGTGTCAAACTACAAACCAGCAGCATACCGTAGCAGAGACGACGTTAAAGCTGTTTCGGAGTTTGTGAACGTGCGTGCTCCCCAAAGATTTCAATTTTAACAACCTTTCGTATTTCTACAAGCAGCACATGTTATATTTCATATTAAATTTTGAATCATCTGGTAATTATGTTAAGTAAACGTGTCTCTCATAACCTTATGAAAGATACAAAGCTTATAATGTTCTACACCAGATGCACGTTTCGTCTACAAAAGATTCACCAGTAACGCTCCGATCAAAACAGTTGATAGGCCAAATCTAATACGAAGTTGACAAGCATTAAAAACCAAAAACTCAAAAATAATGTTCCAAAGAAGCTAACAGAGGTTTTTATGGTAACTTTACTTTTAACAATGCTATACAATCTGTTATTGTTGGAGCAAATATTCTACACCCTTTCTTCCTTCAGGAACAAATACTATAAAATGTTTCCAGTGGAAATAATATCACAGATTATTAATATTAAATATAATGTTTAAATTGGCCCTAATATGACTCATATGGAATTCAAAACATCAACTCATATTAACCATACTTTTAATATGACTGTTTGGCCCGGTAAATATGTTTTTTCCATACGGACCAGCTGTATCTACTTCCTGTCATACGGACCAGCTGTATCTGCTTCCTGTCATACGGACTGTAGCTACTTCCTGTCATACGGACTGGTCATGCGGACTGTTTTGATTATTTAATAAAAGCGTTACGAACTTGCTGCTTCTGGTTTGGCCCATGTATTGATTCTCAGTCAGCTGTATTAGTCCTCGGCCCTACAGCCCTCGGGACCAATACAGCAGACCTTGAATCAATACATGGGCCAATACAGAATCAGCAAGTTAGTAACACTATATTATTATATGACTATAAATTTTCTGTTTTCTCATTGGCTAAAATCATAGGAAATCCTCTTTGATAAAACATTATATTATTAATCGAATATTTTTAAGGATTTGTGATTCGTCAAAACTTGATTCCATGTACATTTGTATTTACTCAGTTTGCACGCTAATAATGTTGTGTTTAGCTTTTCGTAGGTCAAAAACAACATATTGCACAGGACATACAGCATGTTACTAAAAATTCATTCTAGAAATCACCAGTTTTACATTCTTCATGCAATAGTTGTTGATTAATAATATAACAATTGTAGCCTTTGTTTGAGGTCAATACGAAGTTATATCGACCTAGAGAAGCATGTCGACCTCGGACTTCGTCCTCAGTCTATATGCTTCTATTAGGTCGATAAATATAGAATAATACATGGCAAAATCCGTATCGCATGCTGTATCACGAGGAACCAATATCAGTCCCGAGGGCCGATATCATGAAGATATAAGTTCATTGCTGGAGATGCAAAGTCCAGCGCTGGAGATGTAAAGTCCAGCGCTAGAGATGTAAAGTCAGGCGCTGTAGATCTGAAGTCCAGCGCTGTGGACATAAAGTCCACTTTAAAGTTGACTTTAAAACAAATAAGTTTTTATCTGTACGAGACCAAAAGGGTTTCGTGCTATTCCATGACAAATACGAAATCGTTATTCTTTTGATGATTCTACCTTTAAAATATGTGGCACCAATTTGTACTCATTAGAAGAGTAAATTAATCAGAAAAACTGTTCAAAGTACTGTAAAATTAAAGAACAAAAGAAAGAGCGTGAAAATTAAATTTAAGTGTAAATGGATGAAAAAAATAACATTAAATACCAGAAGTCCCTGGTCTGTCCAAGTGGTGCTGACTGACCATGGCTTTAAAGTGACGTCATCATCTGGACAACTGGTTGCAGTTACAACTACACATATATAACTAAAAACCACAAAACTAGCGGATACCCACATCCTTGAAGAACTGTAGATATTTAGACTGACAGGATGAATTATGTTTATATATACCGATCATTGAACCAGTAATTTTTTGAATGATTTAAATAAACGTACGTTGTTTTTTCTTTCGTTCGGACGATTTACATGCCTTAAAGTCTTAAGGTGGCTAAAATAGGTTTTAATATTTTTAAATAAACTTTTAAGATAAGTTATACTTTAGTTTGTCTTGCATGGTTCATTTGACTGACGTCAAAAGGATATAAGTACATGAAAATCATATAGGTAATTTTTATAGTGGAAATATTCATCCACCCATGAAGTAAACACAAACATACATGGCAGATCTTTGATAGTTTATTAATAAGTTATTTACATACCTTTTAGAGGACAGTGAACGATATAGTGCTTGATATAATGTAGTGACCAATTATAATTTTCAGTTGAAGACTGTATGAAAATCCTGTATGCTGATCTTTAGGGGGAAGACCATTTGATGTTCAAGAGAAAATGGGGAGGGCCGTAGTGGAGGACTCTTTGTGGACGAAATATAAATGTTCACCTATTGCTAGCCGAGTTTATTTTAACTTTTGAACACAATTAGTTTCATTTGTATTTTTGTTCAGCAGAAAAATCATTATCTTCCATCTTGGGCAAAGTTTTGTTTGATTTTTTACCAAGCTTAATTTTCTTCTTCCTCCCCTTCCAAAATCTTCATATTCTTATATCCCTTTAATAAAGAGTTAAGTAAGTTAACATGGGACCACATAGGGACAGATTGATTTATTGCCGTTTATTTAACGTCCAGTGGCAAATATTTCATGCATGTTCAGGACGATAAGAAATTAAAAGTAAATACAATTATAGGGATATAGATAGGTCATGTAATAAGGGTCGACCAGGATAAAAGGCGGAAAATTTGGACTGCCTCGGAAAATGAGGGTATATTTAATATGGACAAAATTAAGCCTAGAAACAGGACACATACGGATTTCAAAGAATTGTTGCAAAGTTTTCTAATGTGCAGAGTGTTACTCTCTCTACACGATGTATCTCATTTAACGCCCCCATTCTGACCGGACGTGGCTGCGTATTTATATAACCCACACAAACAAACGGACGCCCAACTATGGCAAGAGCACATGGATGGCAGTTAGGTATTGTACTGACTTCGTAGTTTGTGATTTAAATCATAACTCTTATCGAGTCGGAAGTAAAACAAAATACTGATTGTACATTAACTGAATTGAAATTAAAGTACATGACTTCTTGTTGACCAAGATTATTTGTTTCATAACTTAAACGGGTAAATATCTTTGGAGAAATAAATAAAACATTAGTCATTGAATGTTGTTTAATTGAAGTCAATCAATTGTAAAAAAATTGTTTAATGGTACAGCACTTAATTTTGTATTGAGATTTCATATTGATAACTGCAATTAAAAGTGTAAACCCTTTCCATAACTTTCCAAAATTCATAATTGATTTAACTTAAGTAACACGTGAATGATGCCAGATATTAACCTTGATTATTTTTACTACGTATGTTAATATACAGCAAAATTTTTTAATCATTTTAAACAAATATTATATACAGGATTTTGTCAAAATAAAACTATATGCAATGTTGAATAATGTTCATATTATTTGTTTACGCAGTCATGCACGTGACTGATTGGAAAAATAAAATTATTATGAAAGTTGTTTACCTGCAGGCAAGATTGTGATATCAATTTTAAAGCGGGAACAATACATGAGGAATTTTCTTCAGCTGGCCACTAGACAAAAAAGTGTACTAGTTCAGAAAAAATGGACGTCACACTAAACTCCGAAACATATAGATGAACCAAAATTTAAAAAAACATACAAGACTAACAAAGGTCAGAGGTTCCTAACTTGGGACAGGCTCAAACATGCGGCGGGTTAAACATGTTTTGTGAGATCTAAACCCTTCCCCTTTACCTCTAGCCAATGTAGAATAAAAAAAACCACATAGCAATACGCACAGTAAAACTCAGTTTAAGGGAAGTCCGAGTCCGATGTTAGAATAAGCAACAGACAAACAACAGTACACAAAACACAACATAGAAAACTAAAAACTCAGCAACCGAACCCCACCAAAAACCGAGGGTGGTCTCTGGTGCTCTGGAAGGGTAAGTAGATTCTGCACCCGTCGTGTTGATCATATAAACACAAATCTGTTGATAAGTCTAATTCGGTAGGTCACATTCCAAGAAAAGATGACGGGATATAAAGAGGTATATAGACGGCCAAATTCCTCTTCATTTCACAACAGGGCCATTTACAAATGGAGTCTCAGTCTTTCTTAAAATCACGGAATCCCAGCTCCATGTTTGAACGTTTACTTTCTAAACATATGTTGTCTTATTTCTAAACAGACGACCATATTATATACACCTACCGATAGCCCAAAAAAAAAAGATTTTAACAAAGTTTGAGTATTTAAAAATGTAAGAGAAGAAAATACTATACCAAAGCCAAAATCTGATGTCCCGGATACGAATTGTTTCATTTTGGTTCGAGCTGTTCTTTAATGTTAAATTTTAAAAAAGTTGCCTTCAACAGCATCATATAGCGATTATTTAAGGAAATATGTTATAAAATCAAATGATTTTTTTCTGTTTATGATTAGAGTATCTTATATCTAAATTTCTGATCAGTTAGATTTGAAACTTGTGTTGTTTAACCCTGTGAATGAAATAAATACAGTGGAAACAGTGGCGGATCCAGAAATTTTCATAAGGGGGCCCACTGACTGCCATACTAGGGACCCGCTTAGTCATGCTTCAGTGATTCCCTAAATAATCAACCAAATTTTTCCCACAAAAAGGGGGCCCGGGCACCCTGCCCCCCCTAAATCCGCCTCTGGGAAATTGACCCCTACCTCTTTCATAAGGAGATACCGTCAACCTGTAAATGTCCATTGTCTTTATTTATCAAATTATCAAGCTATCGTCACTAGCGTATACGTGACTGGAATAGACATAATGTTATATGCTTTTGCAAATACCATGGCAGAGGGGGGTAAACAAGATATATCATTGCGCATAAAACCCGGCTATGGTGAAAATATAAAAGAAAATACATGTGACAATTACACTAGCTATTCACCAATCAAAATCCAGGGTACTTATATTAGTTACAATTGCAGTCAAAATTGTTCAAATTATCGTTGAGAAATATATCTAGATTTACATTTAAAACTTTATTAAAAAAAATAATATCCTTGTACAAATTCACTGGTATTTCAAATATCCATATACTATAAATATCGCTGAATGTAAAAATTCATTAAGATGCCCTATCCTTTACATGTGTACACTTATTTCATTTAGAAATAAAGAAATTAATTTTTCTTCTTAGATTCATATTACAACAAAGGATTGTGTTTGCTGAACTTGCTTTGCGAGAGTCATTCAGTTTTTGGAAAAAGTAGCGAATCTTTAAAAACACATACTACAGGCTTCTTCCTCTTTAATTGAACCTGAGCAATATTTTCCGCCATATTGTGGAAACGGCTTGTCACATGATCTTTGTCTTTCTCTGTAACCTTGACAACCGGAAGTTACAAGGCATGTGCTCCATGAAGTCCAGTCTGCAAATCCGCCATCAATAGCTGTAATATAATGAAAAAAAAGAGGATTTCAAAATTTTTTTTTTTTTTAAATTATCAAATCATACTCGGAATATTTCAAAGAATTGTAATATTTTATTGGACATAAATGCCCTCTAACATAGATCAAACACGGATTGCCATCGGTTCCAACATGCGGTTCCTTATCTGTCGTCAGTAAAAAAAATCATACGCGGGAACTGCATGGTCCTTAATTTCAGTATTCTTTAAATTTCTAGGACATTTTTCCTTATTTTTAAAAATAATGCTCATTTTGTAAAATTCTCATGAAAATGATTCTACAATTAAAACTTTCTGTAATTAGATAATTTCTTTTTTCTGTACATCCTTAATTTCTGTAATTAGTATTATATTACTTTATTCTTTAATATTCCACAATAATTCTCACATTTTTCTCTATTCATTATTTTATTTGCCTATTATTCTCTATTCTGTAAACCCCATCCAGACCGTCTTACATGATGTATGGATGCGACTATTTCAAAATTCAAATAGCTCCACGTAACAATACCTATAAAATTTATGACGCAATGTAAAAAAAATACTTACGACACGGTTTATCATTACAAGTAATAGTCACAACAGGGGGTCCAGTACAGTCAGCACCTCCGTTCGTCGGGGACGGGTTATTACAGTACCTGTACATGGATTTAGTGCCTCCTATAAATTGTTAACAAAAATCCATTAGTGAAAAATACTATACAATATTTCTTTTGCCATTAGTATACTCAACAACATGTACATGTAGCTTTTGTTCAGACTAGTACGTTCCATACAGGGAATTCAATTTCTTCTTAATGTCTACTCCTTTTATTATTTAACTTTGTTTGTTTTCTTTTTTAACATCACATAACATTAAAATACAGCTATAGCAATTTTGTATGAAATGATCATACTATAAGTTTGATACTATTTCTACTGCGCTCTCCATTTTATTGTACCTTAAGCTATTAAGTTGAGTATTTATAAATCATTTTGAAGGAGATATAACGTCAAGTTTTGTTTGTTTGCTTTTTTGCAATACATGAATCATTGAACCGAGTCTGCAAACACAATGACTAAGACATGCAATGTAACATGATTGAAATTAAAAACTTATTTATTGTAGGAACGTAAAGGCTATAAATTTATGCGTGTTGAATTGCAATATATACCACTGACCTGCACACGTGACAGAACATTCCATATAATCCGACCAATCAGAGAACCCGCCGTCTGTTATTTGTCTTGACGAAAACGGAAGTTGTGAGCCAGCTCCCCAGTCCTACAAATTGCAATAGTAATGTTAGTTATCGTTCATACCTATTGTGATGTGCCCCTCGAAGAACATGCAACGCTTATCCCTTCCAAACCAACCTATCTGTTTTTCCAGGATCCATGGTTTGTTTGTGACCCCTGGATTTTTCATTCTTAAAATGTATGTGGTGCAAAAGTCTTGGTATATATAAGACAATATTAAGATATGATGTCAATACTTCATTTTCATTGACATGATTTCAGTTGACCAAGAAAACAAGTCCGTCTGATGTAGCTACATTTTATAATTACCTGAATGTTGAGAGCTAAGCAATTAAAGGAAACTGACCTCTTACCACTGTTAATTCGAACCACTGCTATTTTGCATATATAATTGAGAATCATACTTACCACAGGAGGAGCTTTTGATATTGCTGTCATTTCCCTTGAGAATCATACTTACCACAGGAGGAGTTTTTGATGTTGCTGTCATTTCCCTTGAGAATCATACTTACCACAGGAGGAGCTTTTGATGTTGCTGTCATTTCCCGTTCATCAGTTTTCATTTTACCCTGCAAAACACAACGTTCACTGGACGTGTAAATACTATTGTGATCCTGACAAAATTTTGTTTTAAAAATGACTTTTGATTTTTATTGATAACAATTTGAAGTAACTGAGTATGTATAGACATGATAGAATGAATATTGATATTTTACCTTTGGTTGTACAAAATGTATCATTGCATTTGTTTGTGAATTTACAAGCTGCTCCCTTCCTCTGAAACCCCTGCCAAATATAAACCATAATAAAAAATATATGCTTTTCCAGAGTTTTCCGAATACAATCAATCATATAAGTTTTACTATGGAATCAATATTAAATATTCATTCTATCTTTAAGGAAATATGGTTTTTCACACTTACACCGCTTGATTTTCTGTAAGTACCCGGGTCGACGTAAGTTCTGTGTTGACAATTACCATTTGTTCTATCCCCTGAAAGGACAGTCACTTGTAGAACCGGACATTCTCCTTCACAATCAGTTGTACAACTACGGCTTCGTGTTCTATAGCTGATGAATTTTACAAATAACATCCTAAAATTGTAAGATATAAAAAAGGAGATGTGGTATAATTGCCAATAAGACAACTTTCCATCAGAGTTTAAATGAAGTTGTAAGGTTTTAAATCATTAAAAACATAAATTCGCATATTTTTTTCTTCTTTTGAGCACATAAATTGCGTATAATGTGAATTTATCAAAAGAGAGTGTTTGCTTAACGAACAGCGTTAAATATGTTTAGGTTTTTTTTAAGGAACAAATTAACAAACGGTTAAGTATTCTGAGTAAAGCAGTTGAGTAAACGTTTAAAGTCATGACTATGCTATATCTAAAACAAAACTAGAAGTGTAAATAAATATAACCTTTCGGTATTGAACTTACCCTATCGACTTATCCCAGAAGTATCTATCACCAAGTGTGTCGTTGTCTAATTCTTTAAGTGATGACACCTGCATCCATAATTTTGTTTCTGGTCTCCACAATGGCGACCATGTGTATAGCTTGAACGTTGCATCAGTTGGCAAACAAATACCCAATCGAACATGGTTATGTCTATCAAGGAATACAAATAACCGTTATATATAACCACTGTAAGTGACGTCAAATTTTTATTGAAATTAACAATCAATGAATATACTTCGAAGTTTTAACATAAGAGTTTATTTAATAAAAGTAACGAAACAGCAACGAACTTATACATAAACATGGAGAAGATCTAAAGTTTGTCATACGTACAATTACGCATTAAATTCATCAAAAACCCCGATCAGAAAGTTGAAGTAGCACAATAAAGAAATTGAGCAACACAAAACAACTATAGTTTAAAAGTGTTGTGAATACATTAATAACGGATTATTTCGAATTATAAAATTGTATTCATGAGCATACATTATGAAGGTAAATCTTAAATTCAAAGACCTTTTACTTACCTCTCTTCAGAATTTATTATTTCACATGAAATATTTTTCTCATGATAAATTTTTACTACTTATTAAGCATTAACTTTCTTTATTCTTTCTTAATTAACTTCAGATATTTTATATACATATTACTGAAAAATGATTAATATATTTTTAATAATATATACATACTTCTCAATACCATAGCCTCTTATAATGAAGAATCTAGGAATCTGTTTAGTCCAGTGAAGTGTGTAACTATGGCTGCCACCAAGAATTGTCATGAAATCTGCTGTATAATTATCGTATAAAGTTTCAGGAAAATCTGGTTCATCGTCTCGAACCATAATAGCCTCGGTTTGTCCTCGGTCAGGAGAATTGCGGTCTATATCTACATCTAACTATATCATGAAGAAATTAAAAAAATAAATACTAAAAGGAGTTATGGGTCATAAATTGATTACAACAACGTAACGACAAAAAATTAACTAAACACTCCCAGAGAGCAACATTTTACAGTAGTTTTAAAGGATGTCAAGCTCAAATATTTGAAGTTTAACAATATTTCTAATGTTATTACATATATTAGAATAACATTACAAATATTATTTACTCATTTTAGTTTGTAAAATCCTCCTACAGATCATGATAAATACTTTTTAAAGACATCCTCGTTGATCGAATATTTACGTTTGGTAAGTGTAAGTCAATCGAAGACTACCACGCTCACTGTCCGTTAAGAACACTTGAAACAACTCTTTGCGGGGTCCGTAGGTGGCCTGTTGCAAGGCAAAATTTCTGTCCCTATCGTCTATACCCTCATTTTCCAGTGACAGTCCCAATTTCTCCATCTTCATTCCTGACGGCCTCTATAAAAGGGCTACCTAATGTATTTATTGTTAATTTGTTCTCGTGCTATACACGTACGAAACATTTGCCACTGACGTTAAACAACCAACAATCAATCAATGTGAGTCAATCGATGTTTTGATCTTAATCTTTACTGATTTAATTTGATGTTATTTGTTTAGCAGTTAAACAAATGTAGCTGTCAATCATTTGCTATTAAATTTAATATCTAGCAACATCCCACCTTTCCATATTTATGTGGACAAACTGCCATGTTCCAATTTCTTCTGTATGTACATTCGGAAGTCGTATAGAATCGTCCAGGCTTGACAACCTGTTTTCTAGATGTGTATGACGTCACTGATCCATCCTCATCCCGGAATGTAGCTCCTTTATCCCCATCCAGATTACCAAATCCATGAACTGTTGTGTTCCCGTCATAAACACGGTTTCCTTCTAATGGCTACCAGAAGAAACATATATATTGTCATTAGATAAATGGTAAGTGTCTAAATATTAAAGGGAGTTATTATAATTATTCGCCGGTTATCGATTCAGTGATCACCACATAAACTGTGACAGGATGAAAGCATGCGCACATTAAGAACTGTTTTTTTTTTAATTAGTCAAAGAGCTCGAAAAGGGGAAGTCTCAATCTTGGTTTCATTAATTTTAAAGTGATTAAAAACAATTTGGAAAGCAAGCGTGTTTTCATTGAGTCAGTTCCAAATGATATTCAAGGCAAACAACAATCCACCGATCAGGGATGCAGGTGCAAAGCATGGTATTAATAAAAGGAAATTATCTTTTTACAAAATATTTAGAATAAGAAAGAAGAAAATATTTTTTAAAAATATTATAAGAAAGGAAAATAATAAGAATATTTGATATCTTGTATATTAATACATTATTACATACAAGTAATTAGACGAATTCACAAGCACTTCGATTAATAATATTGGCTGCAATACATTTTTGAAAGTTCCTATTTCACCAAAGGCAGATGTGATAATACTTTACAAATATTAAATATTCTGTTTGTTTACCTCCAACTATACTCACATCACTAAAACCAAACAGAATGTCTGTCATAGCACTAGCAGGAGAACTGGAAAATTGATTTTTCCGACGAAATCCGATGGCTGCAGAAGTGTAATTCTTTGTTGATTTAAAATCATTGAACCATATCTTATCAGCGTACACAGGTCCGTCATAGAATATCAGACCAATGATTGGGAATTGGCTGAAAAGATTAGATTAATATAAGGCAGGTGAAAGAGGACGAAGTCCGTATTACGAATTTTATTTTCATTTTATTATTGTCAGTGTAATCAGATATGCAAAGTTGCGGGAAATCGTATAACTTACAACATGGCAGCGTCCGTCAACATTATACAATTATTGACTTTTGAACCAGACTCAAGCTAGCGAACAATAAGCCAGCGAACAATAAGAAATACGCGCCAAACTGACCACGCCTTAAAACCGAAGACTTATATTAACCTGAAACGTCCTTTGAAATCTGATGACAATCATTTCCAGTAGAAAGACATTTTCACACAGAAAAACAGATTTTATATATATATCAGCCCAACAGTGTTAGATCTGTAAATTTGCTTTCGCAAATTATTAGTTCTTCCCTCGCCGGGATTCGAACTCATGCTACTGAATTATCGTGACACCAATATATATATATATATATATATATATATAGTTTGGGCTTGTATTATATTTGCCTTCGGGTTTATATGATCCGTTCATCCTATTTTGACTCCTCAAAATTCAAGAGTCAATCCCAAATTGAGGTAAATTGTATGGCTTTCCAAATACCGTTTCGATTCCTAACATCACTGAAGAGACATTAATTGTCGAAATCCGGATATGGTGTACAAAAACCTTTGCACCTTTTGTTTGCGGTATACCATCTTTTCCGCAAGTTTATTGTTTTCTGTTTAGTATTAAATTTATAATTAAGATCCATTTATTACATCGGTGATCCGTTTATTTGGCAATCGCCAATGGCAGTCAGCAGGGTTTAAGAACATTTGTTGTTCGACCTGTTAGTCAAATGCGTTTTGTTAAAATATACTTTTTCACATTTTTGGTCTTTTGGAAAATGTTGTTTGTGCTGTATTTAGACCCCTCTAACAAGAAATTTGTTTTGCATGCACACGTATAAAAATTGCGGTTTTTATCCAACGCAATCATAGGTTTGAACGTTGTTTTCAATTTAGACTTGTTTATATTTTTTTCGTTTGGGCTTGTATTATATTTGCCTTCGGGTTTATATGATCCGTTCATCCTATTTGCTCCTCAAAATTCAAGAGTCAATTCTAAATCGAGGTAAATTGTATGGCTTTCCAAATACCGTTTCGATTCCTAACATCACTGAAGAAACATTAATTGTCGAAATCCGGATATGGTGTACAAAAACCTTTGCACCTTTTGTTTGCGGTATACCATCTTTTCCGCAAGTTTACTGTTTTCTGTTTAGTATTAAATTTGTAATTAAGATCCATTTATTACATCGGTGATCCGTTTATTTGGCAATCGCCAATGGCAGTCAGCAGGGTTTAAGAACATTTGTTGTTCGACCTGTTAATCAAATGCGTTTTGTTAAAATATACTTTTTCACATTTTTGGTCTTTTGGAAAATGTTGTTTGTGCTGTATTTAGACCCCTCTAACAAGAAATTTGTTTTGCATGCACACGTATAAAAATTGCGGTTTTTATCCAACGCAATCATAGGTTTGAACGTTGTTTTCAATTTATACTTGTTTATATTTTTTCGTTTGGGCTTGTATTATATTTGCCTTCGGGTTTATATGATCCGTTCATCCTATTTTGACTCCTCAAAATTCAAGAGTCAATCCTAAATTGAGGTAAATTGTATGGCTTTCCAAATACCGTTTCGATTCCTAACATCACTGAAGAGACATTAATTGTCGAAATCCGGATATGGTGTACAAAAACCTTTGCACCTTTTGTTTGCGGTATACCATCTTTTCCGCAAGTTTATTGTTTTCTGTTTAGTATTAAATTTATAATTAAGATCCATTTATTACATCGGTGATCCGTTTATTTGGCAATCGCCAATGGCAGTCAGCAGGGTTTAAGAACATTTGTTGTTCGACCTGTTAGTCAAATGCGTTTTGTTAAAATATACTTTTTCACATTTTTGGTCTTTTGGAAAATGTTGTTTGTGCTGTATTTAGACCCCTCTAACAAGAAATTTGTTTTGCATGCACACGTATAAAAATTGCGGTTTTTATCCAACGCAATCATAGGTTTGAACGTTGTTTTCAATTTAGACTTGTATATATATATATATATATATATATATATATATATGTTTAAAACAACATAATTTTTCTTGACAGCCGAGCATCTCTTATAGGATTTTCAAAATTAATTTTAGCTACTCCTCTTTCTTTTAATTACCTTTGATTACAAACGGCTTTCTTTATAATAATGATAAAAATAATAAAAGTAGCCCGTACTTATCTAGTGTAAAGATGAAATTAAATCCACATACTGATAGGCTTTTGAAAAGAATAAGAAAAAAGATACCGTTTTTGGAACGTCAAGTACAGAATTTTGCATCCAGAATTATAGGTTGAAGTAAAAGCTAATAAATATCCACAGTTTCCGTTCTGGTACGATTGAAAACTTGTTATTTATTTATTACATTTCAATAGGAAATGTGTTTTATGTGACAGTTAATTTAACCGACAAAAAGTTCAAATCCAAGATTATTACAGCTTTTCATAAAGGCATGTCCCTTGCACTGATTCGACTTAACAAAAAGGGTTTATCACAACGAAATAATTCAGTTTAACATTAGAACAATAATCGGGGAACGGTTCAAAGGCGGGTTATAATGACCCTACCCTTCCTAAAAAAGTTACTACGGCAAAGCTTTTGTCCACACTAGGTACAAATGATAGGCAATTGCATAAGGTTGCCTGGACCCAAAGACCCAGGTGATTAAAGTTACGGAAATTTTATTATTGAGGTCCAAAGTTAGGGTATGGTGACCCAACCCCCTCCTTTCTTTAATTCATAAAAAAGTCCCTACGGCAAAGCTATTGTCCACACTAGGTACAAATGATAGGCAATTGCCTAAGGTTGCCTTGACCCAAAGTCCCAGGTGGATAAATTTACGGAACTTTTATATTTGAGGTCCAAAGTTGGAGTATGGTGACCCAACCCCTTCCCTTCTTTAATTCATAAAAAAGGCCCTACGACAAAGATCATATCCACACTAGGTGTAACAGATAGGCAATTGCCTAAGGTTGCCTGGACCCAAAGACCCAGGTGGGTAAAGTTACGGAACTTTTATAATTGAGGTCCAAAGTTGGGGTATGGTAACACATCCCCCTCCTTTCTTTAATTCATAAAAAAGTTCCTACGGCAAAGCTATTGTCCACACTAGGTACAAATGATAGGCAATTGCCTAAGGTTGCCTGGACCCAAAGATCCAAATGGATAAAATTACGGAACTTTAATAATTGAGGTCCAAAGTTGGGGTATGGTGACCCAACCCCTTCCCTTCTTTAATTCATAAAAAAGTCCCTACGACAAAGCTTTTGTCCACACTAGGTACAAACGATAGGCAATTGCCTAAGGTTGCCTGGACCCAAAGACCCAGGTGGGTAAAGTTACGGAACTTTCATATTTGAGGACCAATGTTTGGGTATGGTGACCAAACCCTCTCCCTTCTTTAATTCATAAAAAATGTCCCTACGGCAAAGCTTTTGTCAACACTAGGTATAAATGATAGGCAATTGCCTAAGGTTGCCTGGACCCAAAGTCCCAAGTGGGTAAAGTTACGGAAATTTTATAATTGAGGTCCAAAGTTGGGGTATGGTGACCCAACCCCCTCCCTTCTTTAATTCATAAAAAGTCCTTACGGCAAAGCTTTTGTCCACACTAGGTAAAAATGATGGGCAATTGCCTAAGGTTGCCTGGACCCAAAGACCCAGGTGGATTAAGTTACGGAACTTTTATAATTGAGGTCCAAAGTTGGGGTATGGTGACCCCCCCTTTCCCTTCTTTAATTCATAAAAAAAGTCCCTACGACAAAGATTATATCCACACTAGGTACAAACGATAGGCAATTGCCTAAGGTTGCCTGGACCCAAAGTCCCAAGTGGGTAAAGTTACGGAACTTTTATAATTGAGGTCCAAAGTTGGGGTATGGTGACCCAACCCCCTCCTTTCTTTAATTCATAAAAAGTCCCTACGGCAAAGATATTCTCCACACTAAATACAAATGCTAGGCAATTGCCTAAGGTTGCTTGGACCCAAAGACCCAGGTGGATAAAGTTACAGAACTTTAATAATTGAGGTCCAAAGTTGGGGTATGGTGACCTAACCCCTTCCCTTCTTTAATTCATAAATAAAGTCCTTACAGCAAAGCTTTTGTCCACACTAGGTACAAATGATAGGCAATTGCCTAAGGTTGCCTGGACCCAAAGACCCAGGTGGGTAAAGTTACGGAACTTTTATAATTGAGGTCCAAAGTTGGGGTATGGTGACCCAACCCCTTCCCCCCTTTTTAATTCATAAAAAAAGTCCCTACGACAAAGCTTTTGTCCACACTAGGTACAAATGATAGGCAATTGCCAAAGGTTGCCTGGACCCAAAGACCCAGGTGGGTAAAGTTACGGAACTTTTATAATTGAGGTCCAAAGTTGGAGTACGGTGACCAAACCCCCTCCCCTTTTTAATTCATAAAAAAATTCCCAACGGCAAAGCTTTTGTCCACACTAGGTGTAACAGATAGGCAATTGCCTACGGTTGTATGGACCCAAAGACCCAGGTTGGTAAAGTTACGGAACTTTTATAATTGAGGTCCAAAGTTGGGGTATGGTGACCCAACCCTCTCCCTTCTTTAATTCATACGAAAAGTCCCTACAGCAAAGCTTTTGTCCACACTAGGTATAAACGATAGGCAATTGCCTAAGGTTGCCTGGACCCAAAGACCCAAATGGGTAAAGTTACGGAACTTTTATAATTTAGGTTCAAAGTAGGGGTATGGTGACCCAACCCCCTCTCTTCTTTAATTCATAAAAAAAGTCCCTACTACAAAGCTTTTGTCCACACTAGGTATAAATGATTGGCAATGGCCTAAGGTTGCCTGGACCCACAGACCAAGGTGGGTAAAGTTACGGAACTTTTATAATTAAGGTCCAAAGTTGGGATATGGTGACCCAACCCCTCCCAACTTTAATCCTTAAA